TTGGCAATATATAGCCTGTTTTTACCTTGTATTATCATCTATAGTTAAACTGTTTTAGATTTAATTACTAGTTTTAAATTCTAATCTGTGATAAGCTAGTTATTTTACTGTCCTTCGTTGACAGGTTTTTACAATTTACCATTACTTACTATGTATAAAATTAATTGTTCTCGTCACGATATGGCTGAAATATTGCCGATGTGACGATAAATTTGAACTCACTCACTCACTCACTCATTCTGATATCATTTGTATTGACTCTTAGACCAAGATTGTCTCCATTTATCTTTCCATCAGTTCCTGAAAAATGAAGTCAAATCAATCCTTAATTATTGATATGAAACCTATGACATAAATTTATTATTTGCAACCTGAATTCAACCACTGCTGAACACACATCTAAAAGTAAAATTAACTCCATCACAATAAGATAGATAGTAATTGCAAGTGATTTTACCTGCTCGTGGTTGAGGCCAATGTTGTTGTTAAAAAGAACTTAGAGGGCCGCTTTCTGCATGATGTTTTTGTTTGTTTGTTTTGTTGTTTAACGCTGCACTCAACAAGTCAATTAACCAGACAGCCCGTTCCATTTGGTCGTTTTTGTATGTTTGTTTGTTGTTTAACGCCGAAATAAGTAATATTCCAGCTATATGGAGACGAGCTGTAAATAATTGAGTATTGACCAGACAATCCAGTGATCAACAGCATGAGCATCGATCTACTCAAATTTGATACAATGACATGCGTCAACCAAGTCAGCAAGTCTGACTACCCGATCCCTCTTACGACAGTCCTGGGTTGTTGAAGACCAATTCTAATCCGGATCTGCACGGGTACCTCCTGCTATAATCATTTACAGACTGCCGCCAGACAGCTTGATTACAAACAAACTATAATGGGAGGGATGTGGAGTTGAGGGGGTAAATGGAACACATGGGTAACACATTTTAACATAGTTTCTTAGTTAATTCGGTTTTACGCCACGTTTAGCAATATTCCAGCAATATCACGGCGGGGGATACCAGAAATGGGCTTGACACATTGTACTCATGAGGGGAATCGAACCCAGGTATTCGGCGAACGCTTTACCCACTAGGCCCTCCCAGATGATTATTTTATTAACCCAACATCAAGGCATGAACAACAACACGGAAGAAGATTACCGCAGACAAATACAAAATGCATGTCTCCTGTCAGATTTTTAAACTTCCATGAGCAAATACCCTCTTTCCAGTCCCTTCTTTCTAGTTAGATCTGCTATGACACCAACTTTAAACGCAAAATAGAATGAACTGACAACTCAAATATAGAGCGAGTTGAATGTTTTTTTGTTGTGAGCGTGATGGCGGCTGGTGTAAACAGTCTCTGCACTGCTAATACTCTTTTGTTGTTGTGCAGTATCATTCAATGTGTGGTGAAGGTTGTTGTTTCCTTCGAACTCAAAGGTATCTTGTCACCAAGAGCAGCATGGATGTCATCAGATTATACAGGGCAACCCTCTCTCAGTTTGCAGAAAGCAGCCATTAGTATCTAAAAAATGCACTGATGTTTTATGATATGAAACACTCTTCCCTGGAACATACATGATTGTAATTTGTGCAGTGTTTCAACTTCTGGTGTATTGGGCTGTGTCAACAGTTTTTCTGCGGAGATCAAAGGCTTACAGTTTATGGGTTCAACTTTATGCTCTTCAGAATATCTCATGGAGGCTGGTGATATGTTTTCTGTGTCACTCAAAGGTTTCACGCTGTCTTGCTTTGCTGCTGAATTTATGCAAAGACTGAGATTCAGCTGTAACCTCAGCTACGGACTTTCACCTTGTAAGTAACTTTCTGTCAGTTTTTACCTTGTGTTTGGGTACTGTACTGATGGGTCTGCATTCTCATCATATTTTGTGTCCTCACCAACGTGGTATTTCTTCCTGGTATCACCAGCTGACGATTGGGGTTGTCTCTTCACACGCTGCAATGTGGACAGTATACGTATGGCATTCTGTGAAGCAGCCAAACTAAATTCACTCCGCGCCTACTGTCAACAATCATGTTTATAACGATGATAGTTTGTTAAACAACTTTCTTTGTGATACATGACAATTTCTAATAGATGAAAAGATGCCTCGACACCTCATCCCTGTATCGCTGGGCATTCAAATTTCCTCGGCTGAAAACTAGTCTTCTGGGGGCCGTTTCACAAAGCGATCGTAGCGCTACGACTGTCGTAAGTCTATGTTAAAGTATGGGAGTTACGATTGTCTTAGCGCTACGATCGCTTTGTGAAACGGGGCCCTGGTTCTCTGGCCACAAATGCCCCCTCCATCGAGCGGATGAACTTCTTGAGGGCTCTTTGGCGTCAGTCGCTCTCCTCTTCGTCGACAACCAGCAACGTCGCTGACTACGACGTACAATTGGTGCTCATTGCAGTCTGCGTTGACGGTGTATCCCACCGGAAAATCATTCACTGCTGGATGAACAAAGGCAAGAACAAACAAACTAGGCTTGGGTGAGATTAGACGTGTCACGTGTACTTTAATTTGTTGTGGGGCGGGACTGAAGTTCGAGAAACTGTCAGGAGTACTGTCGTGGTATACACGGTCACCCATTCAACGACCAACGTTGCTCAACTTCAACTGAATTGTGACCTGGGCTATATGCACAGGACCACATACCACCGCGTATGTCGTATTGTAACATCGACAATACCCTTGAAACATATTTAATAAACGACCCACCACCTTATCATTTAAATTACTGATCTTTTGGACTTAATGTCACCAGAATGAACATTTATGAAATTTTATAATACTTAGTGATGAATTTCGCCGTTTTTCAAGTGTAAATATTTCAATGATCAAAAGGAAATTAACATTCTGAAACACTTCTCAGAAACTTAAAACTCCAACAATTATTCAACTGCTATAACTCATTTGTCCAACAGAAACTATGTAAATTTGTTAAAGGTCACATGCAACGTAAAACACAACTTTGCAGATTCTGATACCTTTCGGTATGGACTTACCGAAACAAATCATCAAAAAATGCAAATTCACCTTATAAAATTGAAAAATAACGCGATGAAAAAAACGCGCGAAATCGGAGTTCAAACGATTCAGCGCTTGGGGGAAAAGTGGTTTCAACAGCTGGGCTGCGCTCATAGAACATGCGCAGTGACATAGGTTCGCGCAGCTTGTAAGCGGGTTGTCCGGTGAATACTCGGTGAAGGCTTTGGTGTGAGCTATTTTTCTAATGTTTTGTTGATATTTCACAGGCGCGAGCTTTTTTATGTTATGACAGTAGATTACCGATTTAACTATTTATATATGTGTCTATTTCACCACACGTTCTTCTTACCGAGTCACTTTCTCAGTTCGATACTTAAAAGCAATGTCAATATTTAGCATTGACAGAATTTCTAACTGTGATATAGATATGTCTGTTTTATTGACACCTATGTGTCTGCCTACCTGTCTGCTAATGACAATATTCAATACACAACTTCAATCACTGACCACATGCAATTTGAATTTAACACCTATCAAGCTATACACCATAAACAAAACGCATTGCTTTATGGCCCTAGTGCGGTCTCTGTCACATTATGTAATTACACAGACAGGCAGGTGTGATACTTGTACACATGACATGTTATGATGTCTGTTGATTGCAAAATGTTATACACAAAAAATGAGCATGTATTTAGAAAACCCAACATCTCTATATATACACACACAATGAGGGCATCTGCAAATGAACCAGCCGTTACACTTGAGTGCACACCCACCCGCTCTGACTGGGTTCGGTATCCCGGCTGCTTCGTTTCTAGGGAAGTAAACCCAAGTACAAAATATTGCACTTTTGATTTGCGATTGTACGCTTTTAATGTTGTTTATATGTTTTTTTCATAATCAGCAATGTATATTATATGTCATGAATAAGTGATAATTGCGTTTTAATTATGTTTGATTTTTTTGTTGCATGTGACCTTTAACATTATAATGAAAAGTGTAAAAACGCCGGGTAACCACTGTACACCACCATTTAAATGATGTTTTACCTCACATGCTGATACACTCGGTCACAGAGAAAGAAAGTGGTGTTCTGTTCTGTGGGTGGGTTAGTTCCGTTAGTTTTACGCCGGACACGGCAATATGCCAGCCACATGGCGGCGGTCTGTAAATTATCGAGTCTGGACCAGACAATCCAGTGATCAACAGCATGAAGATCGATCTACGCAGTTTGGATTGTTCTGCCCTGTACACTAGATGGACAAATGTAAGGTAGCCAAGGAAGGCCTGGAAACCTTCGCCTTGCACTCGTAGAGGTATGTCCAACTTCCTGGAAAACAGAAACCATGTTTATGCGAGGTGAGGTGATGTGAATTGGGTTTAACGTCGTACTTGAAAATATTTCGCTCATATGACGACGTGCATGCGTGTGTATGTATGTGCGGCTGCTTGTACTAGCCCAGACTGAAGCTGGTTTTATAGTGCTAGCCCACTGAGATACCATGCCGCAGTGAAGCATGAATACCCCACTCAGACACATTATTCTGACTCCGAGCCGACCAGTCCTTGTTGTACCCATTTATTCTGCGCGCCAGGCAGGGACCAACAAGTACCATATTTTAACGTCTTTTGGTATGACGCGGTCGGGGATCGAACCCGCGACCTTCCGCTCTCAGGACGGACACTCTTACCACTACACCACGGAGGCGGTCCCATGTTTATGTAGTTTGTCTATATCAGCCGCTATTTGGATTTGATTAATTCCTGTTTTGCAGCGACATTTTAGTCACTTGTTGCTGACAAAATAGATTACCCATTGTGCTGCTACCGCTGCTTGCAGCTTGCTTGTAACACAAGTCGCCAAAATAACTCATTCTAATAATAGCTGGAGGAAGCCCAGTCGAGCCTATGACCTTGAACCCAACGTACTCGTTGTTTCCTTATCAACTTACCTCACGCAAGGACCTCAGAAAGAAAATGAGATGAGAATATAGATGATTCATGTTTCTTAAAAGAATGTCATTTAAACCTAAGCGTGAACACCTGAAGTTTTACCTTTTGTGTGTATCGTATGCATAGAGCAGAAGGTACTTTGCACACGGCCTTTTCCCGCGTCACCGAACAGACGACATACGAAAGGCAAAGGCGCTGCGGAGAAAATGCAGGGCGAACGCTGGCTCAAGGTGTGCGCTGTACTTCTGCTATATTCGACATGTTCATATGCACATGAAGGTAAGGAACCGTTGCTAATTCATGGCTGGGGGGTGGGGTGATGATGATGATGATTTTTAAGGGTCACCCAATTTGTTCTGGGGAGGTAAGGGAGGCATCAATTTTGTACACATGTACTAGTTAGTGGGTGTCATTGATTTTGTACATGACATGCATGGGGAGGGCGGGTTCACTTATTTTGTTCGGGTGGTCAGGATCGCTGGCTTGGTTGACACGTCATCGGTTCCCATTTGCGCAGATCGATGTTCATGCTGTTGATCACTGGAGTGTCTGGTCCAGACTCGATTATTTACAGACCGCCGCCATATAGCTGGAATACTGCTGAGCGCGGCGTAAAACTAAACTCACTCACTCACTTACTTTGTACATACAATTTAGAGGGTGTGGGAATTTGTAATGATAGGTGACTTGGTAAGCAGGGTGTCATCGTACGTCAACTCCGTGGATTGTGGCTCATATTAGTGCATTTCGGGTTTGATTGTTGTGCAGCTAGAGGGCTGTCTAAGGAGTCAGCAAAATCTTTATTTTTAAAGAAACAAACAATCAGACAAGGGTGTATACTATGTACTGTTCCATTGTGTCGACTGTGCCTAAAATTATGTGAATATACTACTGATGTCTGGACAGTACATCTGATCTTTGAAGTTTATTACAACTGATGTCCAATATTGCAGTTTATAATTGAGTGCGTGGGTGAGATTGGTTTTGTCACGGCGCCAACTACCGTCCAGGGAGTCTGGACGGATAATGATCCAGGATAGTAACCAAATACACAAACAGATTGTTGATACAACCATTTATTAAAGCTAATTACCCGCTCAAGCATGAATGAACTAGCACCTCAAGCACAACAACAAGCCGCTAAAAACAACAGGTAGCTAGCTAATTAAACTCGCCTTAATAGACTAGCTCGACCATATATTGACTGATGAAGGAGTAAGAATATACTAGTACTTCGAAACGTCGTGACCCTTCACAATAAAGAAGTTGACATCCATAAATTCTTGCCTTTATGTGTAACCCTTCTAAATGCCATTCAAAGACTCCATATATTGACTGGTGACACCTAATGAGTGGGGGATAATAAGGACCTAACTACTGCCACTTACAGGGAGAGTATCGGGCTAATAAACATTTAACACCCCAAGTGACCAATAGGACATACAGACCAGAACAAGATATACCATCACAAAAACAAGTCTTGAGCTCCCAACTTCGGTCGTCAGGTCATCCCACAATTGACAACTAGGAAGCAGGTCGACATGCACAAAGCAGTCTAGGCCTTCCCACGTGTATGGACAACTGGCCACGTCCAACTATGACGTAAACGCGCGGACGTCGCGAGGTGAAAGTTTGCATCTAGCCTCTGTCCAGCAAAGAAGTGTGCTAAAGTACTTTCGGAAATAGAAAATTATATCTACAATTTATGTAGTTAATATATGAAAGTGTGAAATATCTGTTAAACAAAGTTCGACCTAAGTACAGTCTCAGTGGTAGGGAGATAGGAAACGTAGAAAAAGGACTTTACTGAGGAGAGATTAGTGCAAAGCGACTTATTTCGAACAGACCATGGCTTTATGCAAATTAGTGTGCTATGATATTGTATTACAAAGGACACTTTTTAAATGCTCATTTTGTAATTAAACTTAGCTTCATTATAAACAATAGATTACATAAAAAAATAACTATAACACTGAAGCTATTAAGGATGTAGCTGCTATGGAGTCTCACTATCACTAAAAAAAGGAACAGGTAGGAGGTGTCGTCTCAAAAGCAAAAGCAGGGCGGGTGTCGCAGACGGTGGTTGAGGTTGGGCTGGGTGAATAGAGATATCAGCTAAGATAAAACAATCCTTTAGGCGAATTACACTGGGGAAGAAAACGGCTTGTCATAAAAATTTACAAATATTATCCAGTCCTGTCGATCTTCTGGTGGTCATGCCACCTATATATTTTTAGACATTTCATACGATGGCTGATATAAGCTTTTCTATGGGATCATAGTAGATCATACTCTTTTACACATCACAACATAAACTTTATGAAAGAAAGACACGTAAGATGTTAATCTATAGATGAAACATATTCAACACACATAAGAAAGCATAAAATATCTTTGAGATGTCCCATTGTGCCTGTAGGCAGCACATGCATTTCGAGCGGCCTAACTGACATCTATAGTCTGATCTATTGTTTTTAGCAGCCATCCGTATTTTTTTCTAAATTTTGCCCGATTTTACGAGTAAACATGCTTTTCTGGATATCCTATTACGCAACACACTAAACGCCCAGTAAGGCCGATGTGGGTTATTTCGACATATGCTATTTGCAATTGTGTAAATTTTAGGAATACAGAGTGACAGCCTTAAAAATAGTATTTTTCTATTTCCGACTGTACATTAATGCCTGGGTACATAAACGACAATTACTAACGTGTAAACGTATGTGAAGGGGAATGCACGCATAAGAAGAGCGTGAGCTTTACTACAAATAGACATAGGTGGATATTGAGACGATAGTTTGTACAATTTTGTAGTTAGCAAAACCCCTGATAAATAAGAGGTATACATATAAACGCTTATATCTCCCTCATAAAAACAGATACAGTGACGGGAGTCACATGTACAAAAAGATAGTATACTCCTCTACAAGAGGGTACATACATATGTGTTAAAAGATGTTGATTACAATGCATAGCAAGCAACAATTAGCACGGGACGCACGGCTCAACTAGATGAGCTGAATAAACAAATGCGCAGGCACTTACGGCCATGTTGCGTACCACACACGCGACTCGCGTGACAGGTTTTACGCCGCTTTTAGCAAAATTCAAGTAATATCACGGCGGGGAACACGAGAAATGGGCTTCACATATTGTACCCATTTGGGGAATCGAGCGTGACGTGACGTTCGAGGTGTCCTAAGGGCGTATTTCATTCTCACCGAACAGGATGTCGACAGAATGCAAGTCAAAACGCACAGTCTAATCCTGTATTATTGTGTATTGATATTGAAATGTATGTCCTATCGGGAGCCCTTGTAAAGAAGGATCCGCTCGTGTGCCACGACCCTAATACCGCGCGTCCCGTGATGAAACACGTGGTTGGGGATACGTGTAAGTTTTGCCATGTTTTGTCTGCAGTGTTATGGACTTAATAAATTCAGTACTTTCTGTTTATTGATGGGTTTGGGTAATAACGGTTTAAATTGGGTCGAGGACGAATGCTTTAAAATTAACATAGTACTTCGTAACATATACACGCACGTACGCACGCAAAATCACAATATTAAGTTCGGTACATGCGACGAGTCATCCTAGCAATAACATAAGGTAATAGTTGTTATATTTATATCACAAGAGACATTCAGTGTCCAGCTATATGTAAACATATCTTAAAGTGTTACAATACATAGTCTATCTATACTCACAAGAGACAAGAAGGTGGATTTGACATTCAGTGTCCAGCCATATGTAAACATATCTTATAGTATTACAATGCATAGTCTATCCGTTCCCTGCGTTCAGATCAAGAAAAGCATGTTTCATTCAAATGAGGTCTCAACGCAGAAAGGATAAAGTTTTCAGTTTGGGCCAAATTAATACTGAATGTTGTTTCATGATTTATTCTGTTACGATACATTTGCAGAGGGGTAGCCTGGTAAAAGCGTCGCCTCGTCACGCTGTAGATCCGGGTTCGATTCCCCACTTGGGAACAGTGTTCGAAACCCAACTGTGATGTACCCCGTCGCGATATTGCTAGAATATTGTTTAAAGGTAGCGGAAAACCATTCTCATTTGCTGAAATGCTGTACTATCAATAAGCATTATGAATATACAGTTAAAGACAACAGGCATACGTTAAGGGCCTATTCTTATCGCACAGAGGTCGTCATTAAAACACGAACATAACTTATGAAACATGTACAGGAAGTGCTGCTTTAAAATGAGAAATTTTACAGCTATTGCAGCGGTCTCTGAGTAACCAAGCCTCAGGCGGGAAAGTCAGTGATTGATATTATGAACCTTTAAACTTTGGTAACTGGGGAGATATTCAAATCCGGAATCACGCATAATTCGTATTAGGCACAAAGCATACCAATACATCGTAACTTTGACGGGGCGTTTCTGATTAAGGTTACTTCTGGCACATCACGGACCACCATTACGACCCAACCTACTGGTCTGAAATGCGGTCCTGCAGTGACGAAGTTCCGGTGCGTGGTATCTATGGCGACTACTGGTGTGACTCCCCCTGGCGGCTTGTCAATGACAGCATCAACGCCATGGTCAGCATCAAGGACGATGTAGACTTTATTCTCTGGACTGGGTAGGCATGATATATTACTCATACCACTTTGGTACAATCAATAAGGACAAACCAAGGATCATAATCGAAGCAAATGGGGGATTCGAACTCGTGAAAAGCGATTCAAGACCGGCTTAAATACTCCAACATGGCGAATTTCAAATCTTTAGCTACATGTTCAATATTTCAAAAGAAGAATCATGATTGGTATAGAAATGAAATTCGACCTATGAGACATTGGAGAGTGATAGATAAGCGAATACAGTGATAGCGTGATAAGCTACTTAGTCTAAGTAATCCATGGCAATTACAATGTTGCAAAATGCATTATGAGTTTGGGGGTCTCGTCACGCCGAAGGCTCGGGTTCGACTCCCCACATGGGTACAACGTGTCAAGCCTATTTATGGCGTCCCCCGTCGTGATATTGCTGGAATATTGCTAAAAGCAGCGTAAAAGCATACTCACTCACTCATTACAAGAGGTATCGTCCGGTTCTTTATTTTCAATTTATTTATTTTTCAAGACAAACAACCTTCATTTAACCAGTGTATTTGTACCCCCATTCTATAATGAAAATTCCCCTGCACCTTACGTTGCTATATCTTTGTTTCGGAAACGACGAGTGCGCCCTTTCGTCCCTAACCTACTACTAGAGCTATGTAATTTCTTTTGAAGACCAGCATTAACGCTTGGTGCTGAATGTGTCTAAACGTACTAAACAGTTACGTCCCTTTGAAATGACGTTGCTTCTGCAGACAATTATATATCACTAGAAACGGCGGTACTGCGTTGCAACCAGACCCTGTTACTTTTAATGACGAAACCATATACCCAATGTTTTCCGTTTAACATGGCTTGGTTATTTTATCAGTTTGTTAATATATACATTACTCATGTATTTCCGCCGTGTTCCAGGGATAACATAGGACATGTCGATGATCAATACGCCAATGAGACATACGTACTGAACATCCTCAGACGTATCACGGACGCCCTGAAGACGGCGTTCCCAGGGGTCAAGGTCTACGCCACGATGGGGAACAACGACTGGTACCCATCCGACCAGCTCCCAGACACACCGCACCTCCTGTACAACGCCACTGCGGAACTCTGGGAAGACTGGATTGGCGATGCAGAACAGATGGCGAACTTCCGTAAAGGTAGACAACCCTATTTCCAAGTTGGAAAGATAAGATCAGAATGTTTCCAAATATTTATAGTTCGTCTTTGACACTCGATAAACTTCTACATGGATCTGTCTAACGTCATATCTACATGGATCTGTCTAACGTCATATTATCGGAAGAAGTCATTAACAGTAGTATTTTTTTAAACTTCCGTAAAGGTAGACAAGCACTCTGTTACGTTGGTCAGAGCCAATGATTAGAATCTGATGATTCAGTTTTGATAGCCGTTTTGCTCCACCTTGAGTAAGTGTGGTATGGTTTTGGATTGGGTGACGCATAGCAAGTTGAAACGTTTCGTAAAGCCACTTTATGTTGATAGTGATCAAATGTGTGTGGTTTTACAGCCGGTTCCTACCATCTTGTGATATGGTTTAGTCTTTAAAAATGTGTTTTATAGAATTTATAGTAGTGTATGGGTGTTCTGGATCTTAGATTGAACTCGTGCATGTGTAAAGATTGGTGCCCTTAGCAGTGCCAGGATTCGCTAACGGAGGAAATCGTTCAGATTAATATAATTATTCTGTCAGACCTTTTCTCTACCAATTTTAAAATTTGTCACTTTTGGTTTTGAAATTTGATGCCATGTTAGAACAGATATGCTGTTGGTGTTGAATGTACTATTGTGAGTTAGTTTAGTTTTTAGCAATATTCCAGCACGATCACGGCGAGGTAACACCAGAAATGGGCTTCAATCGTTGTACCCATGTGGGGAATCGAGCCCTGGTCTTCGGTGTGACGAGCGAACACTTTAACCTCTAGGCTACCCCACCGACCCTTCTGGTGCTTAACCCATAATCTCATGGCAGGTGCCTACTACACCGTGAAGACAGCGCAGGGACTGAGGATTATAGGGCTGAACACAAACATCTACTACAAGTCGGACAAACTGACCGCTGACATGACCGACCCCACTGGTCAGTTCGCCTGGCTGGAGGGCGTTCTCCAGAAAGCCAAGACTGATGGAGAGAAGGTAGTAACAAAGCAGAGTATATATGAAATTGATTCCAGATGTAGGATAAGTACCTTTCTTAAAAAAACCTTACAGAGTACATCTTTTCTCAATATACATGTACGTAAATGTTTGGTTTTCTGAAAGGCCTTTATCTCAGCCTGATGATTCTCTGATTTGATTCAAAACTATGTCTTGTTCAAACCGAATACTTTTAGTATATATTCCGACCAAACACAATATGAACAGAGAAATCCGGCCATGCTTGGTCCACCGGGCTTCTCAAAGTGCAATGATGCCAACACTGTTCTTTCTGGCATTTTGGCATTGACAATTAAACCATTTAAATCAGCAAACACGATAATCTACTCTCTGTGTCCTAGAAGCCACGCTTAAAAAGAGTTTCATTGCGCGACATTTTGTTGTTTGGGATATTATAGTGTTTTTATAGAAAAGATCCCCACTTTCTATGCTCATTTCCCTGCTGAAGGTGTTGATTACCGCCCACGTCCCTCCAGGCATCCACGTTCCTGGGAAGGTCAAGCGTTTTTACACCCATTACAATACACGCTTTCTTGACATCAGCCGTACATACGCCGACATCATGGTGGGCATGTTCTTCGGCCACGACCACTACGACGGATTCAAACTCTTGCAAAAGAATGACGGTGCGTTCCTGCCATTTTCATTGGTTATTTTCAACCATCTTCGCAGATAATACTTTATACTTCAATAATATCGAGGTATCTAACTACTAAGAGACAAAGCGACCAAGATCCATCAAACCAGAGATGCAATTTAGGCAGGTTCCAATATACATTTCCTCAACATCCTCAAATTCCACTTGTTTGGACGATCAATGACATCTAGAATTGTGTTCTTAAACCTTAATAGTTTGAAAGTGATAGACATGTTTATTATCAAAATTTGATCACTCACGACATATTCTATAATTTCGACATAAATCATATTCCAATAACCAAATGTTCTGATGGAGATGGCTGTGTCAAACTGCAAACACATTGCATTGCATGAATTTGTGCTGAAAATGCTGCACTCATATGCACTCATTATTTTAGTACTTAACGTTTGCCTGTTTGGCACAATATATGCATATACGAAATCCTACTCAGTGGGGCATTAGAAGCAGTGTTTCATGTTTGACCATGACGGACATCTGAAGATGTTCCTTATACACCTTCAGCCACGGAGGTTGGATAAAATATGTGAATCTTTTAGCGCTGTTTTTGATTTATCAAAATTGTTAACATGACTGTGCGAGATGATTGGTTCTGGACTGATTTTCTTGGTATATTTTAGGGAGTCCGGGTGTGCCAATGTTCATAGCTCCATCAGTCACACCCTGGCGGTACAAGATCCCTGAGAAAAGCGGCGATCCACACAACCCAGCCATCAGACTTGTCAAGTACTACCATCAGACCGGAGTCCCTCTTGACATCCACCAGTACTACATGGACCTGACTGCCAGCAACAGAAACAACGCCTCTGACTGGAAACTTGAGTACAAAGCCAGCGAAGCGTACGGTCAGCCTGATCTCTCGGCAGTTTCCGTTGATAATATAATAAAGGCCTTCAAGACAGACAAATCTCTTCTTGATAAGTATATCAGGTACATCTCTGTCATGGCTAATGGAGAAACTACTGTGAATGCCTGTGATGCGAAGTGTCGAGCTGAATTAAACTGTGGTTTCATCCACTTGACCGAGACGTCGCTCGATTCCTGCTACACAACAGTAGTTGGAGGTTCGACAAGGTTGTGTTCTTCTTCCTTTCTTATTGTCATGTCAGTTGCCGTTTATTATGGACTGTTTTAGAGAGAAGTTCTGTTTAAGGTCGATTTCTGAACACAACAATTTGAGAGTCCTTTTTTCTATTTTTGTACTCTACATTTTACATTGATCGACATTTTATATTCCTGTAATCCAGTTATGTGAATAAAACATCCTCGATCAGAACACTTGTTACGTCATATGTCTTATATCATTATTGTTATGTCATGTGTCACTACAGCGGTGCTGATATAACAGCATATGCTTCGTGCAAGATCCTTCAGTGCAAGTATTTATACGAATTCCATTCACTCCGTTGCAGTACATTCGGTATAAGTCTTCCGAATATTCAAGTTTACATTAAGGAATCACACTGGATATTTCGGAACCTTTTTATAGAAATCCATGAAATTGTGACAGAACGTTTTGTTGTCACTTTTAGGTACATTATCTGTCAGTGATAAAGTTAATTTTTACAATTATTTTTAAAGTTAAAAGACTTGATACGAAGAGAGAATAAATTAACCAAAGGCATCCTCTGATTACCGTATCATGTTTGTCTGTTAAAATACCTCCAAAACATCAGATATGTTGAAACGTATTGCCTCAGGGAACTTATTTCTGGGAATGTTTGATAATACGACACCATACGTCATACTTCGGGATGTTTACTTTTGTTAAAATGTTGAAAATACACATGACATTGTCAGAAAACGAATGAAATGAGATTCGTTGATGAGATAATGTTGTTTAACACCTCAGTCAAACATGTACGAAGACTAAAGTCACACAAAACAATTCCAAGCAACAATTTGAATGTTATTCACATGCAGTTAATGATTTCATAAGTTGCAGCATTGTTTATATCCTGTGACACCTGTGAACCTAGACGCGATGAAAGCCTTTCCTTTCCATTATCAAATAACAGATCTCCATTGTACAATAATCGATTTTTAAAAAATGGATCATATTATTAATAAGTATGTGCTCATGGATCACTACCACGTGACGTTAGATGCTGTGAGCTATAGAGTGAGTGAGTGAGTTCAGTTTTACGCCGCTTTTAACAATATTCCAGCAATATCACGGCGGGGGACACCAGAAATGGGCTTCACACTTTGTACCCATGTGGGGAATCGAACCCGGGTCTTCGACGTGACGAGCGAACGCTTTAACCACTAGGCTACCCCACCGCTCGAGCTATAGAGGAAACAACGGAATACTTTTAACACGTGAAGAACCGAGCTTAACGACTCTGCTAACAAATAATATTGAACTAATCAACTAATGTCACACGACTGAATGTCACATCAACAACTACTGTTACACTTGTACCTAACAGCTCATACTAACACCTAATCTCACACAAACTACTAATTTCATATTAACACCTAATCTCACACCAACTACTAATCTCATACTAACACCTAATCTCACACAAACTACTAATCTCACACAAACTACTTATCTCACACAAACACCTAATCTCACACAAACTACTAATCTCACACAAACTACTAATCTCAGACAAACTACTAATCTCACACAAACACCTCTCACACCAACTACTAATCTCACACTCACAACTAATCTCACACCAACTACTAATCTGACACCAACTACTAATCTCACAGTAACAACTTCCTGCATCCTCTACCCCGGCTTTAACAATCTGAACGTCAACTCGGTAAAACAACAAAAGGCATATATGTCAAGAGAATGTTTTAATACATAAGCATTAGGCAAACAAATGAAAAGGTGCCAACATGCGGGGCGAAGAAAGGCACTTATTTGATTTCCCCTTTACCTCAAAAACCAATAATACTCCTGGGAGGGTGGAATGGGTGACAAAATAGCAAACGTTGGACGACAAACACCATGCGGGCGCGAAACCAACATTAGTGAAAATGTGAAAGGGAGATAACGGTAATAAAACCTACGTGATCATGCAAAGGGAGGTCACTGGTGACAAGCATCTCAAAATATAGTTTACTAAGGTCAAATATTACGTAGCCTTGGTCCCCATCTTGCTGGACGTTTGAGGTTCGTTGGTTGGCCCGGTGCCGTGGTTGGTTGTGTGTCATCATATGATGATTGTTGTTCATAACATGAAGCACTGATTTGTCTGGGTCAGACCCGTGAAGATCCGGGTTAGAATAGCTCTCCAGTAACACATGCTTGTCGTAAGAGGCAACTAACGGGATTGGGTGGTCAGGCTCGCTGACTTGGTTGACACATGTCATCGTAACCCAGTTGCGTAGATTGATGTTCATGCTGTAGGTCCCTGGATTGTCTGGTCCAGACTCGAATATTTACAGACCGGCGCCATATAGCTGGAATATTGCTGAGTGCGGCGTAAAACTAAAACTTACTCACTTGTCAAGATTATCAAAGGGTCGCCATCGTGTGTATAGAATATTGCTGAACTCGATGTCAAACAACACAGAAATGATAGTGCGTAATTAAAATATTTACTATGATTTGCACAAATCATATTTTGTTTTTGGTAGACTTTCCGTTCTGTCATGCAGTGTTAAAAGGATGATACTTGTGTTTCGGTACGCTGCAATATGAAAAAATACATTTAAATAATAAAATCATTATTCCATACAATATCAAAAGTCAATTAAATTTAACACAGAACGCATATCACAAAGAATCATATTACATCAACTGTTGATAACATTTCATCAAACAAAGAGTAGTCAATGTACTCACAAGAGAAACGAACAAGCCCTAAAGTCCCGGTTGAGATCAGATACAACTTTCATATCCTCCTCCGTCAGTTCAAAGTCAAGAATCTGTGATTTGTGAAAAGAGCATCTATAGACAGCTATGTAATATATAACATATCCAAACAAAATATTCTTCCACAATCTATTCTTTCTCCTCACAGGGCGGTGGAGTAGCCTAGTGGTTAAAGCGTTCGCTCATCACGTCGAAGACCCGGGCTCGATTCCTCGCATCGGTGCAATCTGTGAAGCCATTTCTGGTGTTGTCCGTCCAGATATTGCCGGAATATTGCATATCAAGTGCAGTGTTCTGTATATCACATACACTATACAACGTGCCATGTGCAGTGTGCACCGGGCGAACTCCCGACTGGGTCGTAACACTGATAGCCTCCCACTCTCCCCTTGACAACAGTCTAAGTAAACTTAGGCTCAGTATTATTCGTTACACTGCTCTACTGAGCCTAACAAAACCTTGTGGAAGGTCGCATCAGCTGACCTTTTCAATGGACCAATCAGAACACAGCTTACCAAATCGCGAAAGTTGACATTCGCACATACCTATTGAGCTTTTACCTCGAAAACGTTTTGTACCCGAACGATTCCGAATGCTATTTTCCGTACGATCGCTTCCGAGTGATGCACATGGAGCACGACACAAGAGTGAGTAAACAGTCGCTGAAAATAGCGTTTTGGCAGTATTCAAGGATGTCAGCTTTTGGAAATATTAGCTAATGATAGCCATGCCAACAGAAACCCAAAAGCGTATATTCTGCAGGTCATATATCTGTTTCTATGTGGGTTTTCATTTGTTATGAGATCAGTGTTGGCGACCGGGGAAGAGAAAATCCATTTTGTAAGTCCCGCCAAACCCTAAATAGTAGCCGTTGTCTGATTGGTTAAATCCGTTAGGCCGTCTCGCGTTTGATTGGACGGTCATAGGTCGCTCAAAGGTTACCTGACGCGACCTTCCACAAGGTTTTGTTAGACTCAGTATAGCAGAGTAACGAATAATACTGAGCCTAAGTTTACTTAGACTGCCCTTGACAAACACCGCATGGGGGATGTAACGAGGTCACATGTCAGGCATGTTCTGGTCAGCTGTTTGGTCGTTGGCCTGATAATCATGGGTGCAGGATTTAAACATACTCTTGAAATTCTGAAACTGTGGCTTTCCGCTATGGTCTTATAAGGTCAAGAGTAGGATGATCATGACGACCACTGCACGAGAGGCATGCTGGTTGTGGACGAGGTTCCACATGGTCTTGTCATATTACCATTTTAGGAAGACAGATTATCAAGACTGAGATGTAGTCAAGTTTATGAGCGCGAGTTAGTCAGTTAGAAACTGGGAGCTGAGCACTAAGATCCCAGTCACAATTAAAGCTCTCAATAAAACGTTGTGGACCCGCAGACGGATCGGACTTGTCACTTAGAGAGAAATATCCGCAAACACACAACAATAACCAACACCCAAAACAATATAGCAGTAGACAACCTGAATCGTCTACGGTGAAACTTCCACGGACTGAAACTTCTAATAATTCTGATAATTGCATAAAACTAAACTCGCTCACTCACTCTTTCCCCTCGGACATGGATGGGGAGGCTGCCGTTGTTCTACAGAAAAGTAGTGAAGAGAAGGCAGCGTATATACATGAATGGAACAGTTCAGTGCCTCTGTCGCTCCTAAAGTACATTGCACGAGGCTGAACTGTGTTTAATGTACCTGTCAAATGGTAATATAAGCAGACGTCTAGAATGCGCCAGTAATCAAGCGTGTGGAGAGAGCTGAACCGGGAACACAAACTACTCATCTCACACAAACTACTCATCTCACACAAACTACTCATATCACACAAACTACTAATCTCACACAAACTACTAATCTCACACAAACTACTAATCCCATACTAACAACTAATCTCACACAAACTACTAATCTCCCTCACAGTAACAACTCCCTGCATCCTCTACCCCGGCTTTAACAATGTGAACGTCAACTCGGTAAAACAACAAAAGGCATATAGGCAGCGTATATACATGAATGGAACAGTTCAGTGCCTCTGTCGCTCCTAAAGTACATTGCACGAGGCTGAACTGTGTTTAATGTACCTGTCAAATGATAATATAAGCAGTCGTCTAGAATGCGCCAGTAATCAAGCGTGCGGAGAGAGCTGAACCGGGATGTTACATGTTGCAGAAGCCTGGAACTATCAAGGCCATATGGTAAAACAAAACCATTGGGTTATTCTTTAATACCTGTATATTCTCCTTGATCCTAGATGGTGTGACGCTCTTCGGAATGACAGAAGTATTCCTTTGTACTCCCCAGCGCAGTGCAACCTGTGTCCACGAAGAAAATATACAGAACTAGAAAGGTTTAGGAACATGGCTTGTTGTGTTAATAGATTTAGTTGATGCATGTTGCTTTGGCGAGTTGGCCATATTTCACCATCTGTACACTGAAAACATGGACAATAAACATACTATTCCAAAAGACTAGGGGATATTCGTTAAAAAAGATGTCACAACTATATGTTTAAAGGATAAACACTGTAGCTAGGCTCCTCCTCCCACGTGATGTCAACCTCTTTAGGGTGGTTACCGTGAAGATCCGTGTTAGAAGTGATCTTCAGCGAGCCATGCTTGTCATACGAGGCGACTAACGGGATCGGTTGGTCAGGCTTGCTGACTTGGTTGACACAGGTCATTGTATCCCAATTGCTTAGATTGATGCGCATTCTGTTGATCGCTGAATTGTCTGGTCCAGACTCGATTATTTACGGACCGCCGCCATATTGCTGAGTGCGACGTTAAACAACAAAGCAGCCAACTTTATGGTGATACACGAAGGATCATCCCAATAAATGAGACAATTTACCTCATATCTTCAAGGATGGCTTTTGGCAGTAATTCCTTACTCTGCAACTACTGTATCTCTGCACGTTAACCAAGTTTGTTCGTTTCACAAAGGTCACATATCTATACTGAGTCAAAAAAGAAACTTCACAAAATGTAGTTTGAAAAATAATGAATATTTTTTCTCTGATGATACATCTATGTATCCGAAATGGGATCCCTATCTTTCGACTCTAGAAAAACGTTAGCCAAACCCACTCAAACCCATCCATTCGTCGTGCAAATGATGTTAGTGCCAAATCAGGTTTTGCACGTGCAGTCGATCACGTGATCTTCGCATCGAATTTTTCTTCATATGCACGTGTTTGCATTGGCCTCAAGAATTGAAAAAACACTTTTAAACCACAGTTCTAACGGTACTTGAAATGCCACGATTGTCAAATATGCAACGTGAACGTGCCGTTGGCATGTTGCAAGCGGGAAGATCAGTTATTGACGTCGCAAGAGCAATGGGATGCAGCCGTCGTACTGTGTATGACTTGCGAGGTCGTCTACAACAAACTGGCACCACTTCTAATCGCCCAAGGTCGGGTCGTCCACGTGTGACGTCACGAGCAGAAGACCGTCAAATCGTCCTACGTCACCTACGTGACAGATTTCTGCCGGCTACACGAACCAGGGCTGAGATGTTTAGAGGTCGACTGTCCTCACAGACCATTCGAAATCGGTTGCGGGCTGCCAATCTCCATTCTCGACGTCCATATCGTGGGCCAATATTGACGCCGTATCATCAACGTCAACGTCTGCTGTGGGCCCAACGTCACCTCCGATGGACCCAGAGAGACTGGAATCGAGTTGTCTTTAGCGATGAATCCAGGTTTACCCTCAGATTCGCGGACGGCAGGCATAGAGTCTGGAGACGACGTCGTGAACGGTATGCCCAATGTTGTGTACAGGAAGTCGACAGATTCGGGGGCGGAAGTTGCATGGTGTGGGGTGCTTTCTGTGGGAACAACCGTTCCCGACTTCTGGTCATCCGTGGAAACCTCACAGCTGATGCTTACCGCTCATGGCCCAGGTCTACAGTTCCAGCATGATAATGCTCGGCCGCATACCGCGATGTTGACACGAAATTTCCTTCAAAACGCTGGAATCAACGTCATGGACTGGCCATCGAGGTCCCCTGACCTTAATCCAATAGAGCACGTTTGGGATGCACTTGGGAGAAGGCTTCGTGGTCTTAGGAACCAACCTCAGAATTTGCAGGAACTTGGCGCTGCCTTGTAAGAGCAATGGTGCAGAATCCCCAACCACGTGTTCACAAGCATCAGGCAGTCGATGAGGAGACGGTGTTTGGCAGTGGTGAATGCGCGGCGCGGCCATACACGATATTGAACTGAGAAATTTCGGGTTTTTATTCTTGTGACTTGACATTCTCTATACCCATGTTTTGGAACGGCGGTGTAGCCTAATGGAACTGATTATGGCACTGTCAGTGTATCGAGTACATCACACAGGTCTCAGCAATGAAATAATAGCAATTTAACCATCTTACCATCTCTTGTTCTTTTATAGTGCCCTGAAGAAAGAATGTGAAGTTTCTTTTTTGACTCAGTATATTTCAGTATAACGACCCTTTGCTTTTACGATCGCTAAACATAATTATTCTTGTGTATAGTTTATAAATCGTTATCAGTAATCTTCCTGTCGTTAATGAGCGCCTACAGTGCATCTACACCCAAATGGATCTAGAACATGTGTGGGGTTCCTTTTACTATGGTATCAATTTACCTGTGCCGCCGTTTTACCATACTTTCTGCCTAGTTCTTGTAATACTGGGTCATTGATGACAAGTGGACGATCCTTCACTGACCTAAAATAAATGTAACGGTACATATCACTAAACACCAACCCTAATACACGCGTAACCCATGCTTGTCGTAAGAGGCAACTAACGGGATCGGGTGGTCAGGCTTGCTGACTTGGTTGACATATGCCATCGTATCTCAATTGCGTAGATCGATGCTTATGCTGTTGATCACTGGATTGTCTGGCCCAGACTCGATTATTTACAGACCGCCGCCATATAGCTGAAATATTGAAGAGTGCAGCGTAAAACAAAACTCACTCACTCATACATTCGTTGTGGGAGATAAAGCCATTTTTCGGTTTACCTTTGGTCAATATTGTTTGGAATTAATCCGCTTTCAGCGAACCGTCGCTCAGCTTTAAATGTTTCCATTTTCTCAAAACTTGGAACACTAACATGCGGAAGTATCTGCTTATTTTTAAAAAGCGTGTTGACTTACAGTAAAGCAGGGTTGTCAGCAGACCCAAGGGGTGCGTATGCCGTGATTGTCACCCCTCTCTCCTTGCAGAACGATACAAGTTTATCGTTGGTGAGATACGGAGACACTTCAATCTGAGAATGTATATAAGTAATACTTGTACAGGATTAATGACATCGTGAGGACATTGTCAACGTTACTCTGTCGCAGGTGAGTTTCGTTTGTTGTTTGTTTGTTTCACGCCGCACGCAGCAGTATCCCAGATATAATAATAATAATGACAAAAATAATCAGTCCATAAATCCACACTGACAGCATGCTCATAGTGAGGCATTATTTTTTATATCAATCAATCTTTATTCATACTGAAGGCCACAGACCCACAGTACACAATATCATAGAAAAGAATAATATAGTCACATCACAATATGTCATATCACATCAAAATGTATCACATCATATAACATCGCATTACACATACTTTGTCGTATCACATCATATCGTATCACATCATATCATATCATACCATATATCATATCATATCATATCATATCGCACCACATCATACCATATCATAGCAAATAACAATATAAGTACATACATTCTATGAATTATTATGTTTATTTCTTAGAGACAATGCCTGACAGATAAAGGTTGACAACTTACGGATAAGAACATTGTCACCAGTACTCATTAACAAAGAAAATTTCACCCTATCGGGATATACAGAATAATATGTTGGGACATTTTTTTTTCTTAACTCTCAATAGAATGGGCAAATTAAGAGGAAGTGATATTCATCTTCTACACAATTAAGATCACAAAATGTACAAATTCTATTTTCTCTCTCTATTTTATGATATCTCCCTGTTTCGATTGCCAAGTCATGTGAGGAACACCTAAACCGAGCAAATGCCTTTCGAAATTTCTTGATATTTAGTGAAAACAGATAATTCTCTCTATATATAGTATATGGGATTTAAACATTCTATAATAGAAACATTTACTTGACAATGACAGTGCTACAACCCATTCTTGTGTATATATATATATATATATATATATTTGAGCCTTTGAGTAACATTATTCACAAAATTTGAATTGAAGTCAACATTTTGCCTTTGCCATACATCCCCAAAACCTATTGTATTTAACAATTCTCGAATGTTAGTCACCCAGTTAGTCTTCCCGTTGTTATCGTACATTAACATCATATCATAACACTGTCTAGGGTATCTATCAGATAGCATATATAACAGACGTATCCAATATTATATTATTCTAGCTTTAGCAAAAATGTGTATGGGAAATCTTCCACAATCTCCATATATCATGGCAGTAGTTGTACTTGCTTTCACTCCTAAACATTTCTTGCAAGTATATAAATTAATGTATTTTCTCAATTACGTCAAAATGATTGAAACCCCATACCCCTGAACCATACAATATAATAGGAAGGATTTTTGTATCATATATTTTGAAAAAGGAATGATAATTAATATCTACGAGTTTGTGAATGTTTTTGAGAACCCCAATAAGAACCTGCAGGCAGTTCATCATTACACCGGATAACCCAAGCTGCCTGTGAGGCGCTAGAAGGATATAGTCACATGACGTATCCCACCGGGTACCCATTTTCTGCTGGGTGAACAAAGGCAATTTATGAACAAATTCACTTGCCTAATGTGAGACCACATATATCACATGTGCTTCGTTGTGGGGCGGGGCTAAAGTCCTAGAAACCCTCAAGAGTCAAATTGGCAAACACAGTCACCCATCCAAAGACTCTCCGCGCGCAACTTCAACTGGGCTCTATGCACAGGACCACGCGCCGCTACTGCAGAAACATATTTACCTGATTTGTAACGGGTGTAACCTTCAGCCCGTCAGTTTTAAGCAACCGTTCCATTTGCTCCAGGTTGAAGTTGGACACCCCGATAGATCTGACCAGTCCTTTTTCAACCAAGTTTTCCATTGCCTGTCAGACAAACAATGCATGTATATAATTGATAAAATTCTTTTGTACAAGAAAAAAAGATCAACATTTCAGAATGATTATGAACAAACGTATGTTTTTGATATACACAGTTGACAGGGCATATCTTCAGTGGGTTCGCTTCTAAAGATATTCAATGTTTTCCCTGAGAAAACATAAACCAGTAAACACGTTTTAAGGAATACCATGCGACTGGTGAAATGTGTTCGTTATATCTGCAAAACGTTTTCCACCATTTCGGATTCAACAGCCATACACGTGAAAAAGATATATGAGGTGTTGCGATACTTTTCCCCGTGTGTATGTATCATGTTAGAACCCATGGACGTATGTAAATAGAAACAGAATTACTCAGAATTTCAGAATTACAATCAAAGAATATGTATTGCAGCGATACCATGTGTTAGTTCACGAAATCAACAAGTACTTGCAGTCGACTGATCTCAGGTTATATATGTTAATTCTATGCCTGACCTTCCAAGTATCCACATAGTCCCGGTCAGACATCATCACGTTGCCGTCGGCGTCTCTTGGACAGATTTCTTCTGATTCCTTTTCAAAGACAGAGGGTATAGTTTCACTTTTTGCCCATGGAATAAAACGTAAGCTGGTAAGCATCAAGCATTTCAAGTGATATTTGATTTCCCTTGCTATATTTTATCGATCTCCCGGTCGCGTCATACCATAAGACGTTAAAATATGGTACTTGTTGTTCCCTGCCTGGCGCGCGGCATTACTGAGTAAAACAAGGACTGGTCGGCTCGGAGTTAGTATAATGTGTCTGAGTAAGGTATTCATGCTTAACTGCGGCATGGTATCTCAGTGAGCTAGCACTGTAAAACCAGCTTAAGTCTGGGCTAGTACAAGTAGACACACACACATGCACGTCGTCATATGAGCGAAATATTCTCAAGTACGACGTTAAACCCCATTTCACCTCACCTTTTATCGATTTAGTGTAATTCCTGTTAGTTTGGAATTATTATGGAAATTTGATCGAAAAGGTATTCTCTAAATTAGTTCATTTTGTAATCGTACGAAAATAAATGCTCGGATTAACGTAGTTTAGATGCGTACCTTGAAGCCAAATGGTGTATGCATCAGGTACAGGTCAACATAGGACAGACCCAGCTTGTCGAGGGAATCACGCACCGCCGTCTCCACACGACCAGGTTCGTGGTGGGTACACCATAGCTAATGAGAGGGAAAGAAATAGGTTTACTTCTTATTGTATGATTAGGTTTGTTTGTTTATTTGTTTATTTGTTTGTTTGTCACGCTCAGACATATTCTACGTATATGACCGCAGCTGTAAATAATGGAACAGACAATCCGTTGACTGACAGCAGTGAGTGTGTGAGTGAGTGAGTTTAGTTTTACGCCGCGCTCAGCAATATTCCAGCTATATGGCGGCGATCTGTAAATAAATGAGTCTGGACCAGACAATCCAGTGATCAACAGCATGAGCATCGATCTGCGCAATTGGGAACCGATGACATTGGTCAACCAAGTCAGCGAGCCTGACCACCCGATCCCGTTAGTCGCCTTTTACGACAAGCATAGTCGCCTGTTATGACAAGAATGGGTTGCTGAAGACCTACTCTTCCCCGGATCTTCACGGGTCCTGACAGTAGTGAGTGTGTGAGTGAGTATGGTTTTATGCCGCTTTTAGCAACATTCCAGCAATATCACGGCTGGGAACACCAGAAATGGGATTCACACATTGTACCCATGTGGGAAATCGAACCCGGGTCTTCGGTGTGACGAGCGAACGCTTTAACCCCTAGGCTATACACCGACAGTTGCATCGACCTACTCAGTCTGGCTACGTTAGCACAAGTCACCAAGATTCATCGTGGCCTTTCTCACAGTTAGCATAGGTTGCTTTGTAGCATTCTAACATCAGAATCCTAATGAGAGTCACGGGTTAATCTAATGACGATTGACGTTATATGACGTCGATATGATGGTAAATGAAGCTGCCTAATTCTTTGTAACATCATCAAAGACATTTATTTATATCGTTTATTAGAACTGAACTGTTTTACATTTGTAATGTGTTTCAGATCAATGCATGATGTAATTTACTTTCTCACTTTTGTAGCAATAAACAGGTCCTCCCTCTTAACTGTGCCATCGTCGACCTTCGCCTTGATCCCGAGACCTACTTCCGCCTCGTTGCCATAGCACCAAGCACAATCAATATGGCGGTACCCACTTTCAATAGCAACCTTGACTGCTTCTGTAACCTTGCCTTTTTCGGACTGAAAGATGTGAACAAGATGATTAACTTATTTCATGATAATGGGATTCAACGTGGTCAGGACAATGTTTCAATAGTTTAGTCGCAGCTCTTTTTCAAAACCAAGCTCCCCGTTTTCAAGTGCACGGGGTATTCGAGGTTCGACACACCCGCGAAATGATGAGTGAGTGAGTTTAGTTTTACACCGCTTTTAGCAATACCCCAGCAATATCACAGCGGGGGACACCAGAAATAGGCTTCACACATTGTAACCATGTGGGGAATCGAACCCGGGTCTTCGGTGTGACGAGCGAACGCTTTACCACTAAACTACCCCACCGCCCCGCGAAATGATGACTGAATATACCCAAGGTCAAAGCTTGTACTTGAGATAACCATAAGTTCGACACAAAACGTTTTGGTCGTATAATGTAACACATACATAAGACTATTTAGAAGACTTGACCCAAAGTGTAAATATTCAACATGACGATGGAGCGAACACTCAACTAATCCTAACTTATAGACTTCAAACTAAATGTACCCGTGAAGATCCAGGTTAGAATGAGCCTTTCGTAACCCATGCTTGTCGTAAGAGGCGACTAACGGGATCGGGTGGTCAGGCTCGCTGACTTGGTTGACACATGTCATCGGTTCCCAATGGCGGGGATCAATGCTCATGCTGTTGATCAGTGGATTGTCTGGTCCTGACTCGATTATTTACAGACCGCCGCCATATAGCTGGGATATTGCTGAGTGCGGCGTAAGAGTAAAACTAAACTCACTCACTCACTCATTCAAACTAAATGTGATAAAATCTGTTTGAATAAGTCAGGCTTTATTTTGTGATGATATAATTCTGGATGAAGGCAGGTAATCCACATCGAAATTTGCAGGTGTGGTAGTGTTAAAAGCATGCCACTGAATAAGTTACAAAACATGTACTTGTAGTGTTTACATTTTGTAAACATTTAGTATAAGTGAGTGAGTGAGTTTAGTTTTACGCCGCTTCTAGCAATATTCCAAAGTGTGAGCGAACTGTGTTACCGCTTTTGGCAATAACACAGCGGGTGACACCAGAAATGAGCTTAACACATTGTACCCATGTGGGGAATCGAACCCAGGCCTTCGGCGTGATGTGCGAACGCTTTAACCACTAGGCTACCCCACCGTCCTTTATTACCAACAAAGAAATATGATTAAGATGAGTTGATACGCATTCTGTATCCGAAAGTTTTCAGTGATATCACACTGTGAAGTACATTGCACTCCAGTGAGTACACTGTTATAACACTGGCGTCAACATGAGGCATGCACGTTGTCATCCGCTGTCAGTCATGCATACTTTATTGTCATACCGGAATGTACTGGTGTGGAAACACAACAACATAACCGTAACGAATTGTAGCAACTACAACTACAACTACAACTACAGCTACAACTACAGCTACAGCTACAGCTACAGCTACAACTACAACTACAGCTACAGCTACAACTACAGCTACAGCTACAGCTACAACTACAGCTACAGCTACAGCTACAACTACAGCTACAGCTACAGCTACAGCTACAACTACAACTACAGCTACAGCTACAGCTACAGCTACAACTACAGCTACAACTACAGCTACAACTACAGCTACAGCTACAGCTACAGCTACAACTACAGCTACAGCTACAACTACAGCTACAGCTACAGCTACTACAGCTACAACTACAGCTACAGCTACAGCTACAGCTACAGCTACAGCTACAACTACAGCTACAGCTACAACTACAGCTACAGCTACAGCTACAGCTACAGCTACAACTACAGCTACAGCTACAGCTACAGCTACAACTACAGCTACAGCTACAGCTACAACTACAGCTACAACTACAGCTACTACAACTACAGCTACAGCTACAGCTACAGCCAGCTACAACTACAGCTACAGCTACAACTACAACTACAGCTACAACTACTACAGCTACAACTACAGCTACAAGCTACAGCTACAGCTACAGCTACAGCTACTGGCTACAACTACAGCTACAGCTAGGCACTACAGCTACAGCTACAGCTACAGCTACAGCTACAGCTACAGCTACAGCTACAGCTACAGCTACAACTACAGCTACAGCTACAGCTACAGCTACAACACAGCTACAACTACAGCTACAACTACAACTACAACTACAGCTACAGCTACAGCTACAACTACAGCTACAACTACAGCTACAACTACAGCTACAACTACAGCTACAGCTACAACTACAGCTACAGTTACAACTACAGCTACAGCTACAACTACAACTACAACTACAGCTACAACTACAGCTACAGCTACAGCTACAACTACAACTACAACTACAGCTACAGCTACAACTACAGCTACAACTACAAGCTACAGCTACAGCTACAGCTACAACTACAGCTACAACTACAGCTACAACTACAGCTACAACTACAGCTACAACTACAGCTACAACTACAGCTACAGCTACAGCTACAACTACAGCTACAGTTACAGCTACAGTTACAGCTACAGCTACAACTACAGCTACAACTACAGCTACAGTTACCACTACAGCTACAACTACAACTACAGCTACAACTACAGCTACAGCTACAGCTACAGCTACAACTACAGCTACAACTACAACTACAGCTACAACTACAGTTACAACTACAACTACAGCTACAACTACACCACTACAGTTACAGTTACAACTACCGGTCGTTACACCACTACAGCTACATTCACTTCAGTTACAACTACAGTTACAGCTACAACCTACAACTACAGTTACAACTACAGCTTTGTACAACATACACACGATGCAGGCATCATCCAACGTCATTCACCACTACACCTCACAGACATTAACCACTAAAACATTTAAGCACACATGAATAATCACCCGCGGTCCGTCTCAAGAACATTAAACCACCAAACGGCACTTTACACGACGGATCACTCATTAATCACCCCTCTACCAACTGCCAGATACCACTAGCTCACCACTTTCATCAACAACCCACACTCACATCAATAACCGCACATCACACCCGTCACCACCCAACCACTTCAAGCAACCGATTGTTACCAGTCTTTTCACTACACAAACTGTACCAACCGCCACACAAGAAATGCACACCACAGATACCTTATCCCCACCCATCAAACCTAAACTCAAGCACACACACTAATCACCCGCCATTCACCACCCACACCGCTTCTAGCAATTCACATCAATAATCACCCGTAATTCACAACCCCCACCACTTCAAGCATCACCTCACCCAGTCACTTCACCACCATTCACCACCACACCACTTCAATCACTGTTCACCCGTCATTCACCACTACATCACTTCAGTCACCCGTAATTCACAACCCCCACCATTTCAAGCATCCCTCATCACTTCAAGCACCATACATCACTAATCACCCGTCATTCACCCCTACACCGCTTCAAGCACCACACATCACTAATCACCCGTCATTCACCACCTACACCACTTCAAGCACCACACATCACTAATCACCCGTCATTCACCACCTACACCACCTCAAGCACCACACATCACTAATCACCCGTCATTCACCACCTACACCACTTCAAGCACCACACATCACTGTTCACCCGTCATTCACCACCTACACCACTTCAAGCACCACACATCACTAATCACCCGTCATTCACCACCTACATCACTTCAAGCACCACACATCACTAATCACCTGTAATTCAACCCCACACCTCTTCAAGCACCATACATCACCTCTCCCTCGTCTTGGCTTAGCTCTCACACACACACACACACACACACTCTCTCTCTCTCTCTCTCTCTCTCTCTCTCTCTCTCTCTCTCTCTCTCTCTCTCTCTCTCTCTCTCTCTCTCTCTCTCTCTCTCTCCCTCACACACACACACACACACACAAACACACACACACAGACGCACATAGACATAAACACTACATACATACCTTCCACGTCCCTAGTCCAATACTTGGCATACATCTGCCGTTGTTGAAGGAGACGCTGGGAACTAAACCTGACATCTCGACTCAGCCACGTAACTGTACCTGAAACCTTCCTGTTGTCACCTGAGCCTGTCAACCTCCAGTTACATAAACCACATATCACATGACGTTCTGCTGGCAACCAGGATGGTGATAGTCCCGACAGTAATGTATTCCGAACCGCGGGCAACAGCTTTTCGACTGGGTCCCGGACCATGTAATGCATACTGCATATAACGCGATCGTGAAACCAGTCAATTTGGAGGCAACGCGGTGTTTGCTGTCCAGGTCACCTCGACTGAGCTAGACTTTGTGTGGCTTCAACAGATATGATTGTCAGCTAGTCTGCTATGAGGATGCATATACCTAATGATTGTGAAGTGAATGTGATGATTGTTGGGTGGTATGTGGGTCCTGGTTGTCGTTGTTATTTGATTTATTTAACGTCGCACGCACAACTAAGGTATTTCGGTCCTGATTATGGCATGCGACTATTTATTACATAATCAACGAGGCACGAGTGATAACGGATGATGTTATAAAAGTTAAATTGATTTTCATTGACAAGTGAAAATGTGCAGTGGGTTAAAGAATTGTTAATGAAAGGGTGGCGCATTCGCCCTCATCACGTGTACCGAGTATTGCGTTCAGTTTTTACCAATTAGTGTCAATACATTAATTTAGGGGCGACGGGGTAGCCTAGTGGTTAAAGCGTTCGCTCGTCACGCCGAAGACCCGGGTTCGATTCCCAACATAGGTACAATGTTTGAAGCCCATTTCTAGTGTACCGCGCCGTGATATAGATGGAGTATTGCTAAAAGCGGCGTAAAACTAAACTCAATCACTCTTACCATTCAGTGTAACAATAATATATAGACATACTTCTAAACCATAAGCTGGTTTCCATGTTACCCTCACCTTACCCCAGGCTCGACCCCAGGGTTTTCTATGCAGGCAATGCACTTACTATATACATTGTATTTAGGTGGTGGGTGGGGTAAGGGTTAAGTCGTGTACTGGTCATTCTGACAATATGTATTCCAGTCCCCAGTCCTCTTTCTACTCGGGTTTCTATATGGTTGGCCTATCGTGAAAAATGGTATAAAAACCAGCTCAAGGTGTCAACGTTGTTATGTGAGTGAATGTAGTTTTGCGCACTGACAACACTGTTTCGGTTGTGTCAAAGCAAGTTGGAAATGATTGAATCAGGACCAATCAAACCAGTGGTTATCAGCATGAGCAGAATCAGGTATGACGGCACACATCGAACCCACAGGCCCTCGTGTCTTTGCGAGGATGAAAGATTTTTTAAAAATATATAACAATTTGAGATGACCCTCGACTCGAAATGCTTCACAGTAAAATACGGGGTGCACCGAAGTGTCCGGCCTTGTCATGATGTGTTGTACTGAGAAGCATTTCGAGTCGGGGATCATGTCAAATTTTTATATATTTTTAAACAATCTTTAATCCTCGCAAAGACACGAGGGCCTGTGATCGAACCAGGCTATGCACACAGAGCAAGCAGCTTTCGGAGTTAAGTCCCTTTCCTGTGAGGAAAACCTGCATTTGGAAGCTTTTTGTAAACACACTGTTGCAGTAGTTTCGGTGACAGATATTTTTGGGGTTGAATTTGGTTTGGTTTGGTTTGGTCTGTTTGTTTGGGGTTTTTTTTGTTTTGTTTTGGTTTATTTTTTTATATTTATTTTATTTTTGTTTGTTTCGGTGTTGTTGTTTTTTTTGTTTCTTGTTTTTGTTTTGTTTTATGTTGTTGTTTTTTTGTTTTTGTGGGGGGGAGTTGCTGTTGTTTGTTTGCTTTGTTTTTTCTTAGTATCTGTTCTTATTATACTCTGTTTCTGCGTGTGTGTGTGTGTGTATTTGATTACCTTAGTGGATATAAAGTTGAAGGTGATGTACATTAACGGTGTGAAGAACAAGAATTCCATCAACCAGGTTCCTGCCTGATAACTGTCGGGATTGGGGTGAATAAAAATTTGGGCGTTCTTTGGCGGGGTTGGTGTGGTGCTTTTTTGTTTGTTTTCGTCATATGTTTATTTACTTTTCTCATCGGCGAAATATCACAGCCGTCTTGAGCCAATTGAGTTGAGTCCACCGACACAATATATAGCCTCATACGAGGCAGGCCACGCTTCACTTGAGAAGACCATTTATAACATTCGTGCAGTGTGGCTGGTTATTCACCTTACCAGGGCGTCAGATGTATTTAAACACTGTCACACCCGTAGAATTTCCCCAGTTAGTGATTTATTTGTGATTATTTACAACCACGTCTCGACGCATGCCTTCACATACATGTACAGCCCACGACTCCACGAACCACACCGCCTGTCTAGCTGAAGGTTACCCGAGAGTTATAAGGTACATTGTGTCTTACTCATACTGATCAGCGGAAAGTGAGTGTGTGACATAACCAGCCGGATTAAAAACTTGCACTGACCATTATTTTATAGTGAGTGAGTTTAGTTTTACGGCGATTTTAGCAATATTCCAGCAATATCACAGCGGGGAACACCAGAAATCGGCTTCACACATTGTACCCATGTGGGGAATCGAACCCGGGTCTTCGGTGCGAGGAATGAACGCTTTAACCACTAGCTAGGCTGTCTGATCCCTGGATCAGAGTATAGTAAAAAAGCCCGTAATGGTGTACTAATCTGCAGTACCTTCCAGAACTCTGACTAAATATAGCACACGTCTAAATATAGCACAAGTCTAAATACAGCACACCGCTACCTACAATTGACAATCCACACCTACAATGTTATACACTTCGAACATTGCTACACAATGCATAATACTGCCACACAACAAGAAAAATATTACATCAATTTGGTTTTCGATAAATTCTTTATCGTGTAACTTGCAGTTGGAACATAAACGCTGTTTATATGGCATGCTTGTGTACCATCTAGTTTCGACATTTGTAAAAATTTGAATTAAATACTGAAACTGCAGCCACTGAATATATTGAGCAAACCATATGTATCCAAAGTAAGTGAGTAAGGTTTTACGCCGCTGTTAGCAATATTCCAGCAATATCATGTCTGGGGACAACAGACATGGGCTTCACACATCGTACCCATTTGGTGTGACGAGCAAACGCTTTAATCAGGACTCAAGCCGACCAAAAGTATCTAGTTCATATTGATATAAGAAATACAAAATTGCTCTTATACGGTTCAGATTGAGTTTACATACACTGATGATTGAAAAAGGGCAGATGGACTACACCTAAAACACCATTACACGATCGACTGTGTCCCTTTTGAGTGAACGATCTTGAAGATGAATACCATATCTTGCTCATTTGTCCAAAATATTTAAGTATAAGGAATCGTTATCTACCAAAGCATGTCATTACCAGACCAAGTATGATAAAGTTTGTGAATACGGTACAAACTACTAATGTACAACAACTGATTAGTATTGCTGAATGTGTTTATCAACAAAAAAAAATTCTTTAAAATGGAGGTGAGGTGAAATTGGGTTTAACGTCGTGCTTGAGAATATTTCGCTCATATGACGACGTGCATGCGTGTGTATGTGTATGTGCGGCTGCTTGTACTAGCCCAGACTTAAGCTGGTTTTATAGTGCTAGCCCACTGAGATACCATTCCGCAGTGAAGCATGAATACCCCACTCAGACACATTATACTGACTCCGAGCCGACCACTCCTTGTTGTACCCATTAATGCCGAGCGTCAGGCAGGGACCAACAAGTACCATATTTTAACGTCTTTTGGTATGACGCGGTCGGGGATCGAACCCGCGACCTTCCGCTCTCCGGGCGGACGCTCTAACCACTACACCACGGAGGCGGTCCTTTAAAATGGAAAGTACAATGGACATGTTATAAATATTTACTCTGGGTTACCATCCCTCATTTCTCTGTTCATTTATTGTATAATATTATCAAACTATGTACATCCACAAACACTCACGACTGTGCAATTATGAATTTTGTAACCCTTGTTTTTTGGCCCATGGCCTAAATAAACCTGTTCTGTATCCAAAGCCGATGGAGTAAGCATAGAAAGCCTCCGCCCGATCCCGTTAGTCGTTTCTTACAAGCATGGGTTACTTAAGACCCATTCTAACCGGGATCTTCACGGGTAGAGGTGAATATCACCATCTCCGCCCTTATTGCTATAATCGTTATCTACTTACACTTTTTGTAGCGCCTTGAGCGAGCATTGAATGCACGGATACAGGCGCAGTTACAAATACCCACTATTATTATTATTATCAATCACTGCCTTTGAATTTGCACTGGCACCTTTGTAGTGATTTAAATTAATTTGTAAAATTAAGATTTAATATATATCTTTTCTTCATTGTTTGTAGGTTTCACACCGAGTTCTTTTACGGGTTGATTTCCGGCAAACGTTTAGTTTCAATTTGCAAATCATCATTTAAAAGCTTAATGTAATAATTAACCAAGAATTCAATACATAGATCAGTTTACTTACAAAATGGACAAAAGGCTGAATATGATGTGTATCAAGTGAAACTGCCCAAAAGAATCTACGTTTTTATTCTAGAAGGTGCCAGGCATCTTGAAACTCCCTGTTCAATGCAGCGTGCTGATCAAACAGCCTCTGCATAATTCAGGACTTATGTCCCTTGTATCTTTACAAATATTTTACGTGCGCATCTATCATTTGCATTGTTGGGTGGCCATTCTTACATATTTGCTTGTTGAATACCGCACTCAACAATTTTCCAGCTATATTACCTTGATCTGTAAATTATCAAGTTTGGACCAGACAATCATGATGGCCAGTTGGGATACGATGACATTCATCAATCCAGTCCGCCAGCCACCAATTCGGTCCCGTGAAGATCCAGGTTAGAATTGATCTTCAGTAACCAATGCTTGTCGCAAGAGGCGACTAAAGGGACTGGGTGGTCAGGCTCGCTGACTTGGTTGACACATGTCATCGGTTCCCCATTGCTTTGTTCATGCTGTTGATCACTGAATTGCCTGGTCCAGACCGCCGTCATATAGCTGGAATATTGCTGAGTGTGGCGTTATGGTGAGGTGAAACGTCGTGCTTGAGAATATTTCGCTCATATGACGACGTGCATGCGTGTGTATGTGTTTGTGCGGCTGCTTGTACTAGCCCAGACTAAAGCTGGTTTTATAGTGCTAGCTCACTGAGATACCATGCCGCAGTGAAGCATGAATTCCCCACTCAGACACATTATACTGACTCCGAGCCGACCAGTCCTTGATGTACCCATTAATGCCGAGCGCCAGGCAGGGACCAACAAGTACCATATTTTAACGTCTTTTGGTATGACGCGGTCTGGGATCGAACCCGCGACCTTCCGCTCTCCGGGCGGACGCTCTAACCACTACACCACGGAGGCGGTCTGTGGCGTTATGGGAAAAGAGGCCATGCTTAAAGGTCACATGCAACGTAAAACACAACTTTGCAGATTCTGATACCTTTCGGTATGGACTTACCGAAACAAAGCGTCAAAAAATGCAAATTCAACTTATAAAGTTGAAAAATAACGCGATGAAAAAAAAACGCGCGAAATCGGAGTTCAAACGTTTCACTAATTTTCCCCAGACTTTTCTGGGGAATACGGGTTTCAACAGCTGGCTGCGCTCATAGCACGTGCGCAGTGAAATAGGTTCGCGCAACTTGGAAGCGGGCTGTCTGGTGAATACTCTGTGAAGGCTTTGGTGTGAGCTAGTTTCCTAATGTTTTGTTGATATCTCACAGGCGCGAGCTTTTTGTATGTTATGACAGTAAATAAACTGTTTATATAATTTCATTTGTCTATTTCACCACAGGTTCTTCTTACCGAGTCACTTTCTCAGTTCGATACTTAAAACCATTATTTAGAGTTGACACGATTTCTAACTGTGATATAGATATATCGATGTCACAGACAAAATCAATGTCTTGTTTTATTGACACCAGTGTGTCTGCCTGCCTGTCTGCTAATGACAATATTCAATACACAACTTTGATCACTGACCACATGCAATTTGAACTTAACACCAATCAGGCTATACACCATAAACAAAACGCATTGATTTATGGCGCGAGTTCGGTCTCTGTCACATTATGTAATTACACAGTCAGGCAGGTGTGATACTTGAACACATGACATGTTATGATGTCTGTTGATTGCAAAATGTTATACACAAAAAATGAGCATGTATTTACAAAACCCAACTTTCTATATATACACACACAATGACCCGTGAAGGCGGCATCTGCTAATGAACCAGCCGTTACACTTGAGTGCACACCCACCCGCTCTGACTGGGTTCGGTATCCCGGCTGCTTCGTTTCGAGGGAGGTAAACCCAAGTACAAAATATTGCACTTTTGATTTGCGATTATACGCTTATAATATTGTTTATTTGTTTTTTCATAATCAGCAATGCATATTATATGTCATGAAGAAGTGATAATTGTGTTTTAATTATGTTTGATTTTTTGGTTGCATGTGACCTTTAATATATAGTGAGAAGCGCCCTTCAGGTTTATATAACTCACTCACCCACCTTCTCCTGGATGGTATTCTCCCAAGTCTTACCGCCTGAACTTCTATAGACTGAGGGGCGGTGGGGTAGCCTAGTGGTCAAAGCGTAGGCTCGTCACGCCGAAGACCCGGGTTCGAATCCCCACATGGGTACAATGTGTGAAGCCCATTTCTGGTGTCCCCCGCCGTAATGTTGCTGGAATATTGCTAAAAGCGGCGTAAAACCAAACTCACTCAGTCAGTCAGTCTATAGACTGATATAACAAACTATACGGTCCAGCGCGCACCTGCCTCATCCCTTAGGAAATGGAACAATCCAACTATAGGAATTCTCCCCCAATACAACATATCTCATTGAATTGTGAATCAAAAGCACCTACAGTGTACGTTAATGACAACACAGCTCCTGATAACGTATTAAGTCACCGGCATGTTAAAATAAATATGTTAACTCAAAGAAAAGGAGTTGGCTAGGATCTAGTGTATAAATTATCCTTTTCGTTGTTATTAATAAGCTTTGTGTTCGTTATTATCAGTGGGTTAATGTTGTTTTAACTAAAATATATGATACCAGCAATCTCAGTTCAAGAGAAAGACATGATAGTTCAAGGACGTTTCATTCACAAAAATGTTTCAACAGAGAAGTATATATAGATTACTCTTTGTGAAGGATGCTGACTTTATTGATTTCATTGATGGACAGATTTTTATCCAAAAATGCATTGCATGAGATGCAGTCAATTTCATGGGATCTCTGACTGTTAAAGATATGAGGTAATGACAAACGTGTGTATTCACACTCAATATACTTGCACCGAGGTGGGCACTTTGAGCAAAAAGTTAAGATTTTATGTTCATATTTCAACACCATGCTATTCCATAGCAAACAAATATATTTAGGAAAACATTGCACCCACACACCCCACCCACACACCCCACCCACACACCCCTGCTATTTTAGAGAGGTCCTGCGGCTTTCGGCCCGAGGCCTGTATGAGAGACCGCCAAGGAAGGCCAAGGAGTAGCCAAATAAGTAATGTTCTTGTCAAAGACTGCTTCTGCTACTCACGATCAGGGTGCTTTAAATTGTTCGGCCTCATTTCAGTTTTCATTGTTCTCTAGTAGTATGGAGATTGGACCAGTCCATTATCTAGTGAGGGATGGTATTAACTGAATGTAATCTAAATGTAAGCGAAACGAGCTGTTACTGTATTTGAAAGAAAGCTGCGGCGATGGGAGCAAATGCAGCTTTGAATGCACCGATGCCTGCTATGCTATTACACAATTCAGTTAAAATTTAAAGTTAAAATAGGGGTCAGAGTGAGTGAGTGAGTGAGTATGATTTACGCCGCTTTTTAGCAATATTCCAGCAATATCACGGCGGAGGACACCAGAAATGGGCTTCACATATTGTACCCATGTGGAGGAATCGAACCCGGGCCTTCGTCGTGACGAGCGGACGCTTTAACCACTAGACTACCCCACCGCCCCAAATAGGGGTCAAAAGTTAACAAAGCAAAAAGGTGGACGACACTCGCTCGATTTCATTTCGATCAGCCCTGAACGCAAACATGGCGGCGGTCAATGGCTGGCTGGGAACCCTCGTTATTTTATTGATAATCAGCGCTTCGAAAGCTCAAGAAGGTATTTCATTATGTTATTTAACTTGGGGCTTCCAATGAGAGATTTCAAGGTCAGTTTTCTCTTGACCGAGGTGAAGTAATATTGTTAATCATTGTTTTTGTCAAGATGCAGCATTGGGTTGACAGGTAGACGTGGTATTGAATACCAAATTGAATGTATTTATGTGTCTTAAGAACGACCATGTTTTCACTACCATGCCTTTTGCTTTGTTTTGGTGGTTTTACATGCTCTAGAGTTAGGAATGCTTGTACCCCAACAGTACACGACATCAGTGAGGGTCTGCACGTAGCAGTGATGCATTGAGGCGTGTACAAGATTCATAACAGGTACACAGTCCATCTGCTTTTGCTATTATCACAAGTCGTCATGAAACTAGCAGAACCGGTAGTCCGAGTCGGCTTAGGCTTAGGCCGGGTCATTGCAGTGCAGAAAGGTTATGATTGTTGTTTCGTTTCCCAGATTCGCATTGTGTTTGAATGTTTGTCAACACCACGCCGGGCTTGTCGATTGTGCTCAGCATTTGAAACTTACACTATAGTTTGGCATGAAATGCATGTGGACCCAGTTTTTTGTAAAAATCTCTTCATCCAATGACCCAATCGATCTCAAACTGCGCAAGTGGATGTTTTGTCAGACAACGTAATCACATTGTAAATCACCAATTTTATGCATTTGTATTAAAGAATCTGTCTATGTAACTGTCAACAAAATAAACAGCAGAACGCAGAATGCTTGCAGAGGGAGGGAGCCAATGACCTGTAACAGCGGCAGTGTTGGGTCATAAAGGTCAATGCACGTGCAGTTCATGATAGGCACTGCACAGTGATAGACCGTTTGGATCATTCACATTGACTACTTCTAACTGTCATCATGAAAGCTTATTCAGATGATGCTAAACGTTTAATTAGAAATGTGTTGAATCTTTTTTAAAAAGAGAGCAAACGTAGAAAACCGATTTATAAGGTGTCGGATTACATGAAACTACAACTTTTGCTCTTGGCATGAAAAGAACATCGTGCTAAAAATTGTGAAAAATAAACCAACAACCAATAAACAAAACCTTGTGCAAAAAGGTAGGCATCCAAAGTAAGATTCTTTTGACATCAGGGTCATCAGAGATGTCATTCGCCGGCTATTTGCAAAATTTAAAGATTTTAACCTACAGAATAATTCTCACTAATGGGTTTTGTGGTTAATGTTGAACAACTCAGAGAAACAAACTCCGTATGATGGTTAACAGTTGGCACCCGACTTACCCTATTCACGACCTGTGACACCTCTTCATACCTGTCACGTGCATAGCTGACCTATATTGACGAACGTTGACCTTTATGACCCAACACTGACGCTGTTACAGGTCATTGGCTCCCTCCCTCTGCAAGCATTCTGCGTTCTGCTGTTTATTTTGTTGACAGTTACATAGACAGATTCTTTAATACAAATGCATAAAATTGGTGATTTACAATGTGATTACGTTGTCTGACAAAACATCCACTTGCGCAGTTTGAGATCGATTGGGTCATTGGATGAAGAGATATTTACAAAAAACCGGGTCCACATGCATTTCATGCCAAACTATACGTGGGGCTCTCCAACATTTAGTTCACGTCATGTCATGCCGAAGGCCCGGGTTCGATTCCCCACGTGGATACAATGTGTGAAGCTCAGTTTTGGTGTCCCACGCCTTGATATTGGTGTAATATTGCTAATATTGGCGTAAAACCATACTCACTCACTACACATGCGTTAACAAATACAATACAAAATGTATATTTAATGAATGCCATATCGTGGCCAGTTGTCTCAAGAAAACTTAATTTGGGGAGAATAAACACAAATAAATTCATGGTTGGTTGGTTGGTTGTTTAACGCTCCATTCAGCAATACTCCAGCTATATGGCACCCGTCTGTAAATAATCGAAAATGGACCATACAATCCTGTGATCAACATCATGAGCATCGATCTACGCGATTGGGAACCGATGACATGTGTCAACCAAGTCAGCGAGCCTGACCACCCGATCCCGTTAGTCGCCTCTAACGACAAGCATGGGTTACTGAAGATGAATCTTCACGGGTAAATGCAGTGTGCGAAATAGCCATAGGCCCGCTAGCCCGTGGCTAGTAAAAATCCAGTCGGGCTAGTAAATCTCCTCAGTCACTGGCCCGACTGGCTAGTTAGTTTCCATGGGGTCATTTTGTAAATATATCACTCTCTCCGCCTTGTTAAGTTATAATACACTTTTAAATCATGCAATATTATGGCCTAATACAAATGTTCATCATATTAGCAGCTTAATTTGTGTAATCTTTTGCTTAGTTCCTACGTTCAAAATCCAGGCTAGTGAATTATTTTGTGGTCTAGTAACTTTGAGTCATAGCCCGACCGACTGGTTAGCAAAATTTTGGAAACTTTTTCGCACACTGCAGGTAAAGGATTCATGGAAAACCTAACCATTGATGAAAACGCATCAAAATATTCTTCCCTTTAAGGTTACTTCTGGCACATCACGGACCACCATTACGACACAACGTACTGGTCTGAAATGCGGTCCTGTAATGACGAAGTTCCGGTTCGTGGTATCTATGGCGACTACTGGTGTGACTCCCCCTGGCGACTCGTCAACGACAGCATCAACGCCATGGCAAGCATCAAAAGCAACGTCGATTTTATCATCTGGACTGGGTACAGTATAGCAGACATACGGATTTACGCAACTGGTTCACGCCAATGTTTACGTTTTTTAATTGGTACAAACGCAACACGGATTGAACTAAATTCTCATAAATAAACAGGTGAACAAAATTTCACAGACTACTTATTTCTTCCCGAACATTAGGAAAATGTGTTCGAGTGAGTGAGTGCGTTTAGTTTCACGACGTTGTTCTCAATCTCCAAGCAATATCACGGCGGGGGACACCAGAGGGACATTGTAGCTATGTTGAGAATCGACCCCGGGTCTTCGGCGTGACGTGCGAACATCTTAACCACTATGCTACCCCAGTGCACCACATAATTTCAAAAAGCTGTGTAGAAATCAAACTATTCGATGTTTCAGAGATACAGTGGCCCACATCAAGGACCAATACCTGAATGAGTCAGTTAATCTGGAGATAATGAAAGTTGTGACTGACGCTCTGAAGGCGGCGTTCCCAGGGGTCAAGGTCTACGCCACGATGGGGAACCACGACTGGTATCCGTCCGACCAATTCCCTGTCACGTCGCACTTCCTGTACAACGCCACTGCGGAACTCTGGGAAGACTGGATTGGCGATGCAGAACAGATGGCGAACTTCCGGAAAGGTAGACATGTTTTTGTTATCAGAGCACGTTTGTTTTGGTTTTTTCCTTGTCGTGTATTATTATAATGACTATTCCAGTTATATTGTGACGGCCTGCTGCGACGAACGCAACCGCTCACGGCTTCGGCACGCAATCAGCCATGTAACTGTATCATCTTTTACAGGGGCGGCCATTTGATAATTAACGGGTCATATTAAATAATAGCTATTGGAAGACAAAAACTGGAAAGATCCTGTCTTGCCTCAGATGTTACGTAAACACAAAATTTGTTCTCTGGACATATTGAGTATGCATTATTATCCTATATATCATATATTAGGAATAACAATAATAATATTTACGAGTGTAAATGTTTTAATAAATTGTTTATCATATTCGTTTTTATCAAAATAATGGAAATTTAAAACATTGTTACATGTATTTATTACAGTAGCTTTATATGTGCAAATAGAGCTACCATGAGGCGCCAGGTTTACACTCCCTTTACAGTCATGATCACATCCTACTTGGAATTCATTCACCGCTAAGGAACAGAAGCATGTTTCAAATTTTAAATGTTGGAATTGTAGGAGCTCCTGGCATACCGATGTTTATGCATGTTTCAACTACTGAGTCGTACCAAATTCAACGCCCGTGTTTCAGTTACGGTCAGTAGAGGACACGTTGAAATTCTAAGCATTCTTGATCGGATATTGAAGGGTTAAGAAATACAAACAGGAGTCTAATTCCCGGAGAAGGTCACCCACCAAACTCCTCTCCGCCACCGACGTTGCTTAACTTGATGTGATGTTTGTGAGCAGTTACGTATTTTGGAAACACTTTCAGGCGCCTACTACACAGCGAAGACAGCCCAAGGACTGAGGATTATCGGACTGAACACAAACCTGTACTACACGTCGGACAAACTGACCACAGACTTGACTGATCCTGCTGGTCAGTTCGCCTGGCTGGAGGAGGTCCTTAAGAACGCCAAGGTTGCTGGAGAGAAGGTGAGGCATTGTGTTAAGCTCAAAATAGTATATATACTTGTTAATCCTGTGTTATTTTTTCAGTCAAAAGCTGTTAACATTTTATTTGGGACATTCTTTGGACATTTCATGACATTCATTAATAACAGCTCTTTTTCAAAACGTATTACTGCACATCACAATTGTATACTTTGAAAGGGTGGTAAATATTAGTGGTATTTTAATATACCTCTTTACACTTTAAAATGACATCACACTACCTTGGTTTGTATTGACAAACATTTCTCTTTAACTGTTCGTGACTGAGAAATCTATACAGCTTTCAAATTGTGATCTAATTAATATTTCATGTCTGACATATCCGTTCATCACGGTAATTGCAAAACATTTTCATGGCACGAGGGGACCTGCCGTCTAAGGCTCCGCGATTCGCTGTGAAGAGTTACGGGCCTTAAAAAATGCCAGAACCCTATGACCCTGGGTTCAAATCCGATTTCGCCCATATATTTCTAGTTTTGTCTTTAGCACCGTAGCGGTTTCACAAAATGGGAATTTACATTGCCATAAAGCTTTCCTGACACATTTAATCGACAATCTGTTAAATAACTAAATTAATGTTCAAGGCAGTTTAATCAATTTTAAATGCTCAACCACTTTTAAATTGCAGGTGTTGTTATCCGCTCACATTCCTCCCGGCGTTCACGTTCCTGGAAATGTTCAATGGCTGGCTAAGTATTTCAACACCCGCCTCATCGACTTACTCAAACAATATACCGACGTCATCGCCGCCATGTTCTTCGGGCACGACCACGCTGACGGATTCAAATTATTACAAGAATGGGAGTAAGTCCAGCATTTGTTAATTCTTTTTAGGCAGAAAAGGCGTTTCGATCTGGATGCTATCCAGTACATGATTTAAAGTGAAAAAAAGAGAAGATGTCAACGCGGGCACAGTGGGTTATATTTTTCCCACGCCGTACAGCGTACACACAAACGCAACAATCACAACGTTTCGTGCTGTGTTTGTTGTTAAATTCGTGGTCTTGACTAGCAGTTGTCGGACTTCTATTTTTCTGGAAGCTGCGCTGGCTGAGTGGGTTAGACGGCTGACTTTAAATGTGCCGGCGATTAGGTGCCTGACTCTGAGGGCGTGGGTTCGAATCCTGGATGGGACTCAACCCAACAAAAGGACTAGAATCTGTACTTTACTGTGAAAGTGTAATCCCAAATATAACGTGTTAAAAAGACTCGTCTTTTCAGAGGCAAAATGTTGTCTTGAATCAAATGTTCTCTTTTTAACACAATCAAACTATATGCAATTTGTTTTTATGTCTGGAATTGGGGGAAGTCTAGTGGATACACTGTGTGGAGTCCATTCCTGGTGTACCCGCCGTGTTATTGCTGGAATGTTTCTAAAAGCGGCGTAAAACCATACTCACTCACTCACTCATAAAGCAGGATCTTGACAAAAGAAAAGTAAATAAAACCAAACTCACTCACTCAATTTAAGGTTTACGGTCAGGTTGTGATTTAGGTGGGTTTTTGTTAATTGAAGGTACTCCTGGCACACCGATGTTTATGGCGCCGTCGATCACCCCCTGGCGTTACAAGATTCCAGGGAAATCGGGCGATGCCCACAATCCGGCCATCCGACTGGTCAAGTACAACAAGGGCAGCGGCCTCCTGCTGGACATCCACCAGTACTACATGGACCTGACTGACAGCAACAAGAACAACGCCTCCAACTGGACAATAGCTTATAAAACCAGCGAGGCCTTTGGCTTATCTGACCTCTCGGCAGACTCCCTTAATGGCGTTATTAAGAAGATGGAAACAGACAAGACCTTGCTTGATAAGTATATCAAGTACAACACCGTTCTCGCCAACGGGGAAAAAACTGTCAATGAATGTGGCGAGAAATGCCGTGCAATATTCACATGTGGCTTCACCCACATGGACAAAACATCATTCGATTCTTGTGTAGACTTTCGCGTCGGTGCTGCGACAATGCTCCGTTCTACTACCACCTTTTTTATCGCTTTGGCTACACTGTACATCCTCATGTAGGGCATTTTCTGTATTCTACGGAAACATGCGGAATTGGAGGGGACTGCTGTTTAAAATCGACAGTCAATGATTATTTGGACACATGATATATTTCGGTGTATAAATGTCACTTAAATGAAGAAAACGACCTGGGTTTTGTCATGGAAAAATGATCTTCACAGTTAGCCTACCGCTCACCATGAATGATACCGACGGACGGTTTTCTGAAGCAAAAGACATAGGATCTGCAGCACCTCTTTAACATGCGTAGTCGTCATGTAATCTTTCAGTTTCAAACAAAATATTTACCTTGCGACTATGATAACAAATAAACATCAAAGGTATATCATAGGCATTTACACCTATTTGACATTGTTGGAGAAAATATTCTACACCTTTGACACTGTTGTACCAACTCAGATGAAACCATGTAGATGTCCTGTTTCTCAATGTTGTTTCTCAACGATCTTTTGAATATTAAATTAGTGCGAAACCTTATCACTAAAACAGACACACATTCATACTGTTGCTTGAAAAGTTCGCCCTGGCTCGGAATTTTACTCGATCATGTAGATTATACCATTCCATTGTGAACAATTCCCAGGATCCATTTGCCACCACAGCTTCACTTCCGATGTGGCAATGCCATCGCCATCTACTAACAAAACATTAAATATCTCACGACCCTAAGGGTAATATTATTTCATATGTCGGTTATTTTGAACCTAGCGTCGTGTAATTAGAATGATTTCAAAATGAAGCTATGGCGGCGAATGTGTCTTGGGAGTTTATCATAATACAAAATAAACGTTTTAGACAAGATGTTTTGTATTATTTTTGTATACATGTACGCACTGTTCACATAATGTTCTAACGTTGTTGGCGCAAACTGACGGGCAGTTTCAGCGAGTTTCTCGTTCAAGCAGTGGTGTATTTGGACAAGACAAATTATGGAACCAAGACGGCTTTTACAGAGAACGTTACTTCCGCATATATACTTGGATAAATTGCTCATCGCCAAACGCCGTTCAACTTATTCGTATATTGCTTTTTCGTACGCACAATCATTGATTTCTCAGACATTCTGCTTTCGACAAGTGTTACTCACGATGTACTGTCTCATATAAACGATTTTATGAGAATTTTTTTTCTTCTTTTATATTTTCGGGTATTTTTCTGATAGAGTTTCTAATTCAACAAAGGGGCGGTTGGGAAGCCTGTGGTTGAAGCGTTCGCCCGGGTTCGACTTGTGTGAAGACCATTTCTGGTGTGGCCCGCCGTGATATTGCAGGAATATTGCTAAAAGCGGCGTAAAACTAAACTCATTCACTCTTAATCAACATGACACGATAGCATCATAATTATCGGATTATGTTTCTGCATTTGCATGCACTCTAATTGTTAGCACCAAATCTGTCAACATGGAACTAAACATACATTTCCTCGGCTTTTCTTCCCGCACCCAGCTGACTCACGGCCAGATGCTGATTGGCTGAGAGACATTCTATTATTTCATACTCTAAGGTACATTTTTATATTATTGTCGAACTGTTGGCGTTTCAAACGCAATTTCGCCCGATAATAACGCCAGTTTCAGAGTGAGATATATCTAAGGGGAATAACTCCATCGTCTCTCAGTCGGCAGCTGTTTTTCGATGAATGTGAGAAATGAATGAAGCTCTTCACTGCGGTATTCTTACTTACTGGGATTATAGCATAAAGATAGATCTTCGGGTTCGAGGAAACTAACATAGAGGTTTCAACAACCCATGTGCTCCTAGAGACTGAAAGAAATTGGCTTTTCACCATACTCACTCACGCATTGAATGACGTAGACGTCATAGGGGATATTAGACGTCATTGTAGTGGGTTTCAAATACACCTGACTATGCTGGCCATAGGAATTCTAAAGACTTAAGATGTAAAAACATGTTTCTTTCCAGATTGAGAATAAAGTCCTAAGCCACGTTTATGAATTGTTCTGAAATCAAGTGAAGATTCGAGTTAGAATTGGTCTTCAGCAACCCATGCTTGTCGTAAGATGTCGGGGGGAGGTCATCTTGTGAGTGTATACTTTCTTTTAACCTGCCGTAGTTAAGTTGTTGGCGCTGACAGGAGACGAGATAGTTATAGGAGAGCCTTCTAGAGCCTTAAGGGTTTTGGTTGTGTACTGAGGTGCGAACGAAATTTGAGTCACACTGATCTGTTGAGCGTGATGATGATATTGTTTAAAGCCGCTTATTAGCTTCCCAAGTGCCAAGACAAGCGCTTTGTTAATATTATAACGGTTGACAATTACACTCAATCACTCAGCCACCTAACCACTCACTCACTCACTCTTGCCAATATTCTGATTACAATGATGTTTCAAGGAACGACCTGTGAAAACCCGGGTTAGAATTGTTCTTCGGCACCACGGTTGTTGTAAGAGGCAACTAACGGGATCGGATGGTCAGGCTCGCTGACTCGGTTAACACATGCCATTGTATTCCAACAACGAAGATCGATGCTCATGTTGTTGATCACTGGACTGTCTGGTCCATATTCGAATATTTACAGACCGTTAAACGACCGAATGCGGCGTTAAAGAACATACAATCAGAAACTACGTCATGTGACACCTTCGCCTGTGATCGCACTTCCCAGGTGGGTGTCACGTCGCCCACGTTGACAAATGCAGTGTCGATGTCGCTGTGACACGTCTGTGCAATATTCACTGCCATAGACGTCATGAATGTGATGCCTACTTTCGATAAGAGGCTCCTTTCACGAAGCAACCTTTACTAAGGTTAACCTTAACTCCCATTCTTTAACATCGCACTAAGGTTACCTTAGTGACTTACGATCACCTTAGTGCTTTGTGAAAGGAGGCCTAGTTAATACAGACATGTCACGCATTTCGAACACGCAGACTAGAAATGCTATTTGAGTAAAAACCCACAATCATGCCGTACCAATGTTCCAAGTCTGTGTTCAAAAGTATTGGTCAGTATAGATACTGACTGTCAATCTATCCTTAGCAACACTGATCTCTACTTCCACTGACGATATCCCGACGGAGAATGGGGCCCAATCCTTCTGGTTCAAATCAAGTCAAAAGATGATATGGCCAGTCTCTGCAGTTTGGTTGACTTTGTTAATAAATGGATCCTTTCGCCATACAGTCACGTGTTTATCTGGTTCAGCGTCGACTGTTTATATGCTGCATCGTCTAGATGCATAAAGAATATTGCTGAGTGCAGCTTTTTGCGAAAAAAATGCACTTGAAAACAGGCGACCTTTGTCGTAGCCATTAGGGTATTTTTATGTGAGAGAAGACATTCTAATTGCCCGTCTGTTGTAAAGTCTGTCGGCCCTTTGTATATATCATTAAATGTTCATACTACCAGAGCTCTATCACTGAAATACGTTATGACATAATGGGGTGTATTTTTTAAAAGCATGTTTGATATTTTGTTATATACCGTAGATTTTCTATGTTTTGCGCATATAACAAGATAAACATGTTTATTTCTGAGAAGTACACAACTGATTGTACACAATGCACAGAAAGGTAGTAATACGGTTCCATCGTTAGTCCATGTTCGACTCTCAGATTGGTGTTAGTTATGGTGCCCAGTTATGTTGTCCCTGATACATAGTCATATGCGACAGTGTATCATTTTGTTCGTTCATTCATTATCCATTTGTGTGATATTTGAGTGAGTGGGTATGGTATTACGCCGCTTTTAGCAATATCCCAGCAATATCACTGCGGGGGACACCAGAAACGGGCTTCAAACATTGTACCCATGTAGGGAATCGAACCCGGGTCTTCTGAGTGACGAGCGGACGCTTTAACCATTAGGCTACCCTACCGCCCCCGTGTGATATTTGAAATTTGGATGGGATATTGTATACTAGTATATGACTGTTTCAAAGTCAGGATTTTGAATGTTCTCAGGTCATTCTGAGCACTGAATCTATCAATATCTATGCAGCATATAATAGTTCATACAATAATATGCTATGTTTGTAATGCATTACACAAAGGGGGTCTTGTAATATAATACATTGTACCGTACAGAGGACTAGGAGCTCATAATTCAAAGCGGACTAATCCTTAATTCAGAAAAAGAGCCTGTTCACAAGAGCAGATGCGAGTCGTTCCGGCAATCTGTTAGAAGCAAGTCATAATTTGGAATCATTTATCATTAATTATTTAATCAATTTAATTTTACATGGTTAAAATATTATTAAGCATTATAGACGAACATACTGGGCACACAATTTATTTGTATGTATATCTGAGTTATAACGTTTACAAAGTGTGTTTGCGACGTAGTCAAAACGGAACAATCCAGTCATGAATACTTAGGAATGATGTGAGATTGATTTACACAGACTATCCCTGTTTCACAGAAGTGGGTTTCGTCTTTCTCTCGTGTAAGAGGTTAGACTTTTGTTTTTGTCATTAACTAATTCCGCGAGCGGCGTGTACTTTGCACACGGCACGCGGCCTACTTTCACGTGACCGAGCAGACGACAAGCCGAAGACACAACAACACAACTGTTCGAGCAGTGCGACATGTTGAGCAGGATAAACGTACTCACTGTTCTTCTGCTGTATTCAACATGTGCATGTGCACAGGAAGGTGAGAAAAGAAATATTTCGCAATTATATACGATGAGATCATTCGTGAAACATGACTTGAAAGTTGTATACCAATTATTTAAAGTCCGAGAGGGAGCTCCATGAGTCCGTTATACTAAGCTGGTTGTTAAGGCGGTTGAATTAATTTGACGGTCAGACTCGGTGGCTAGGTGAATAGCGTGCCATCAAACCGCAGCAGCATGGACGGTGCTTTGTGATATTTATCTGTTCCAGAATATGTACAGGTGGAATGTTGTTGAGTGCCGCATTAAATACCAAAGCAAACAAGAAGAATTTTGAAATTGGAAAATCCTATGCATAGGCGGAGGTGTCCTCCCATTACGCAGACAGCCAGTTCGCAGACACCTTAAAACAACAACATTTACGGTTCAGAGAACAGATTATCTACTACCTGTTACCTACACATTATTATGGAATAGTCCAAATAAAAACACAGGAACAAACTGAAGCTAAATTCTTCAAGACAAATCTTATGGATAACATAAATCAAGAAGTTGTTATCCATAAGATTTGTCTTGTATTAAAACTGAGGCTATATTATTTATTTTGAAAGATGGACGAAAAGACAGTAATTTGAACTTTTATTTCTGCAATATGAAAACAGTTTTTCAGAAACATTTCGGTTTAACCTTCTAGTCTAACAGGAGTCGACATCATTATATTGAAAACATTAGCTTATCTATTAGAAATTGCGACACTGATGTATCATATAAATCAATTAAAGACAAATGTGAACCTAAATATTATTCATATGGAATAAAGAAGTTATATGTTTTGCACACAGTATTAAGATATATGACGAGTGCACTTAATTACGATTTATTTAGAATAAATATTTAAAATATGACGCATCATGTCAATGTGGCCATGGATGTGAGAATGTTTTTCATTACGTCCTTGAATGGCCATTGTATACTACTCAAAGACATAAACTGTTACAATCTTTAGAAAATATTGTTAAAATTAGAAACCTGATTTGTATTAATCGTATCTTACATGGCAATGCAGGTGTCTCATTTAATGAAAATCAGAATGTTTTCAAATATGTACATATCTATATCTCTCCCAAAAACGTTTTCTCAGTTAACTTCTGTTGTACATATGCTATTATTGGGAGGGGGCTTTTCTATCAATAAACACAATCAAACCTCTCAGTGACAAACCTGTTTTTATATTCGATAGTAATTGATAGTAAAAACAATTTTGAGAAGAGAAAACATTTATCATTTAAACACAACAAAGTTCTATTTACCTACAATCAAACTTCTCAGTAACGAACCTGTTTCAGGCTCACCCTGCTCTACTCACTAAACAGTGGACTGTTCCATTATACCCGTAGGCGTTACCCTAATTAACCTTCTAGTTCAGTGTCTGTCAATTGGGTGTCTGTCAAATGGGTGTCTGTCAAATGGGAGATAACCTAGGCGGATCCAGAGGGGGTGCTGGGTTGCGCAATCCCCCTTTTGTCCCGAAAGTGTATTAAATGAACATTGAATCTCTCGTAAAAATTAAGTGTCCTCCCCATCCACCATCGTGATCCCCACAATGTAATGTGTAAATGTTGATGCATAGATAAAATAACCATGTCAAATCAAAACCTATGAGAACATTGCGTTGTTTAGTAATGCAGTCACTTTTATGACGAAGCGTGTAAGGGGTTCGAGATTTATTCTCATGTTGTTACGAGCTGGCATGTTCATACACATTGTGTATCGGCCTTGAACCTGAATACGATATGCTGCTCTTTGCATTGCTCCCCTTTGTATACAATCACCGTGTTGGTGAACCACTTTCGAAGGTGCTACCGTCACTACTGTCTCTGAGTACTCGTCACACAATTCATACAGATACTCGTACATAAATACCATTACATGATAGCACATAACACGAAGGGGCGGAAATGACAGGTGTTTGAGGTGCGTGCCATACAAATCCTCGGGCGCAGATTCCCACCCAGGTTCGACCTGGTTAAGTTTGTAAATTTGCAAGCGCCATGCCTATGTTCTAGGGTTCTAACCAGGTTTTAAGCGCCGAAGACCTTGCTTCAAACCTTTCCCCAACGTTATGTGGTTTAATGAAGAACCGTTCAGAGCGACGTTACGCTAAACTTACTAGAAAACCGTAGTTTATGTCACATGTATCCATAAGGTGCACTAAGAATCCCTGACCTACATTCAAGCTTTAAGTCGCATATACCTGCATGGATGTATCTTTGCTACATCTGCAGAAAACAAAGTGACTTAGATGGACCCATCACAAAAGACGGTTACATTTGCGCGAATTGTTGCATCAGTGACAGACCTGTATCTGTTATCTTTGAATACGAATTTTCTGAAATGGGGGTAATAATTAAATTCACTTGTACTGTCTCCTGAACAGTTTACATACTTTGCATTGATTGACATAAATGAAAGCAGTTTTTACAATATAAGAGACTTAGAATCTAAGAATCTATCCATTGTATTGTCAAATTTATGTTGTAAGTAGTATAAACGAAATTGCACTAACTATTACTTTCCGACACTAATTGTTCTAATGTTATAAGCAGCTATACTTACAGTTATTGATTGCTACATTTCCAGAAAAGCTGTTTTTTTGGTTTGTTAATAGCATGCTCTTCTTCTCATGGTTATTATATTTATAACTTATTTGTATTCCGGAGCGGTATTCAGATAAGCAACATACTGTTTGTTTACCAATCCGGTTTCACTTTTGGAAATAAGTATGTTTGAAGCAATATAAGAGACGCTGTGCTATGCAGTAACACTGTCGAATATTTTCATTATATCAAACATTCGTAATCACTGAGTGAACTAACTTAAGTCGCATCAGCAACATTTACACTGTATCAAGGGAAAAGTGTAGTAATTCTGCTCTGTCCTAACGCAAATAATCCAATGGTTGATAGTGTGACAACCCCTTGCAACTTAATGAAGACTCTGACATCGGTTCTCGCCTACCTGTAGACTAACAACTAGTCTCTGAAATGAACATATTTTACTGAGAAAAGTTCATATTAAAAAAATAATAATAATATAATGAAAAGGAGCCCTGAGACTTTCTTCATTTTCAGACCTGAAGCTGAGGAAATCTAGACTTGCCACATTTTCTAGACTTGCGTGGGCTTTCTTGGACATATTTGCTTCAGGGTCTGTACGACAGACTAGCCTACCTGTACCAACACAAGATATGCATTATTCAGTCTTCCATACACTTAAGACGTCATAACTGACGTTTAAGGTCACGTCAGTGCACTGATTCATTTGGTGTGACGGGAAAATAGCTGTGAAACTTGTATGAACTGACCGCCGAAATTTGGAGATGACACCTGGTGTTCGCGAAAAAGGTGAGCATGCCCTGTCTCACCGTTGGTACGTATCCTAGCAACGGGGTGCCGGTATTAACTCAAAATATGAAATGATAGACACGTTTGAAATTCATCTTATTGTGCTATGAATTATGAACTTGTACTCAAGATATCCATCTAGACCCTTGATAGTTTGTGTAAACACACTCCAAATCTCCAAACAAGTGATAATACGGTATTCAAGCCTCGTTCTGCAAACATTTTCCGCACTGACCTTTGGACAATTAAACTGTGGAATAACATCCCCTTAGCTATCAGAAACTGTAAATCTGTTGTGTCTTTTAAAACTGCAGTTCATGTTAAACAAAAATGTGCACCCGTATATTTCTCATATGGGAAAAGGAAACTAAATGTTTTGCATACAAGATTAAGATATATGACAAGTACACTTAATTATGATCTATTCAGAATTAATGTTAGAAATGATGCACTTTGTCAGTGTGACCATAATTGTGAAAATGCTTTTCATTATTTTCTTGAATGTCCATTATATATAATTCAAAGAGAACAAATGTTAACCTCTTTAGAAAATATAGTGAATAATAGAGCATGTATTGATATTAATCTCATCTTAAATGGCAATGCAGGTCTCTCGCTTTGTGAAAATCAGAATGTTTTTAAAAGTGTACATATCTACATCCATAACTCTAAACGATTTAAATAACTCTGTCTGTACATATCTATACCCTTTGTCTGCCTCTTGTTGAACTTTTTTGTAATATACACTTGTAACTATGTGGAGAGGGCTTATTTAAGTTGGATTACTTGTGCCCAATCCGTTTCTTAATTGAATAAAATATGTTTCAATCAACATGTAATCAAAAATATCCCCAGCTTAGTTGTAGACTGTTGTAACTGATACCCCACGCTCAATTCAAGGAGTTTGATTAATGTTTGAGGTCATCTTCGGCTACCCATTGTTTTCCGCTTCTTTTTGATCATGTCAAAACCCCTCACCTATTCTCGCCCATTCGCTTTGTCGGAAGAAACGACACAGAATGTCCGTAAGAACGAGTAAAAGAGCAGAGAAAGCTGTGGTACCTATTTGGTCAGGTGGGGATTAAACGCTGAGCAATTAACGACGTTTTTAAACCAGACCTAATATTTCAGTGCGGTGCGACATATGTCCTTCACAGCCGAAATAACGTTTACGGGTGGTATATTTCAACGTAATTAGTAGTAAATGCTTTGATGATTCAAGGCAGACGTACTTGTGGAGATTCCCCCGAAAATAGTGCGTCTGTACTCGTATACCACATCTGTAGTAAATGTTTTGATGATTCAAGATAGACATCCCTGTGGAGATACCTCCGAAAATAGTGCGTCTGTATACCACATCTGTAGTAAATGCTTTGATGAAGTCCCAGTGGGGATTCTTCTGAAAAAGATAGAATCATTTGGTTTATGCTCGAAAGTGGACCCCATGTCTTGGAATGTCTGCTTAAAAGTGAGTGAGCGGACTGTGTTGCCGCTTTTATGCCGCGCTTTGGACATGTGGACGAACGCTTTAACCACTAGGCTACCCCACCGCCTAGTACAAAATGTATGTCAGAGACGTAGTGATATGTCCACCACACATTGTTTGCGACCCACATCCGTGTTTGCCCATGAGTTATGCGAAGTCTTATCTGTCATGCTGGCCGAGAGTTAGAGAGTCCTTAGTGTTCATGTAAATGTTTATATAGTTTTGGACAATAGATTTTGGTGATTTGGGTATTTGCTCCAGATAGACAGATTCAATGTCGACAAATACTTGTGCCATATCTTGTAGATAAGGAAACATTATGGATAAAAACATCTGGTTAATTGCATTTGGCTTTGTTTCCATGTAGATTCTGACACCGGTATCAAGCTAGACTGACCACCACGAAGTCATTAGATGTATAAATCCTTGATAAGCAGCAGTTTAACGTCAACAACAATACGACATGAACAGCAAGATGCACATAGAATCTAAATGATGCTAAATATACACCAGTGAGCATAACATATAGCGTAAATGTATTGAAACTAGATATACAGTAAGAATTACAAGGTTGAACGAGCTGACTGGATGCTGATTAAAATACTTGAACAAGCTGACTGGATGCTAATTAAAATACTTGAACAAGCTGACTGGATGCTAATTAAAATACTTGAACAAGCTGACTGGATGCTAATTAAAATACTTAGGGAAGCTGAGTGGATGTTAATTAAAACATTTGAACAAGCTGACTGAATACTAAATGAAATACTTGGGCAAGCTGACTGGATGCTAATTAAAATACTTGGGCAAGTCGAATGGTTGCTTTAAAATACTTGAACAAGCTGACTGGATGCTAATTGAAATACTTGGGGAAGCTGAGTGGATGCTAATTAAAATACTTGGGGAAGCTGAGTTGATGTTAATTAAAACATTTGAACAAGCTGACTGAATACTAATTGAAATACTTGGGCAAGCTGACTGGATGCTAATTAAAATACTTGGGCAAGTCGAATAGATGCTAATTAAAATACTTGAACAAGCTGACTGGATGCTAATTAAAATACTTGGGGAAGCTGAGTGGATGTTAATTAAAATATTTGAACAAGCTGACTGAATACTAATTGAAATACTTGGGCAAGCTAACTGGATGCTAATTACAATACTTGGCCAAGTTGAATGGATGCTAATCAAAATATTTGGGCAAGCTGACTTGATGCTAAATAAAATACTTATTGTTAATATTTTTATTCTCACTGTCCGTCTGCTTCATACAGGTTTTATCTACATAAAGGCTATTTTAGCCATTGTTTCTGAGCCCGTGAAGATCCGGGTTAGAATTGGTCTTCAGCAACCCATGCTTGTCGTAAGAGGCGACTAACGGGATTGGGTGACCAGGTTCGCTGACTTGGTGGACACATGTCATCGTATCCAAATTGCGTAGATCGATGCTCATTCTGTTGATCACTGGATAGTCTGGTCCAGGTTTGATTATTTAAAGACCGCCTCCATATAGCTGGAATATTGCTGAGTGCGGCGTAAAACTAAGCTCACTCACTCACTCACTTGATATTTGAGTCACGTGTTATGACGACCGCATATCGTTTGAGTATATTACTCGGACCTTCACAGTGAGCATGGGTTTAACGCCGCCTTAGCACTATTCTAGCAATATCACGGCGGGGGACACCAGGAATGGGCTTCCAACATTGTACTCATGTGAGGAATCAAACCCGGGTCTTCGGCGTGACGAGCGAACGCTTTACCCACTAGGCTACCGCACAGTATCAGAGTATATCACAGTAAGGAAAATGACTATTAAATACTGTGAATACTCTCAACACGTCACATTTAATATATACACTTTTTCGATTTACTCGTACCATGAAACTGCATAAAGTGATAGAAGAAAGAAAATATTTTTTTTAGCAATCACATTATAGATACAATATACGAACGGTGCTCCTGGATATCCTTACATTGTTAACATTGAAGTGTTCTGTCTGAAGATCCGCATAAGACTAACCACAAATCTTTCGTATGTAATGGTTAACAGAGTACCAAAAAAAACAAAGTTAATTTGTTCTTTAAGGAATCGTAATGCAGTGTTAATCATGTGCCCATTATCTCAGACTGTTGCGACTCTGAGGCGACCTGGTCGACGTGCATATTCCACGGACCCATTGGCTTGAAATCTCTGTATATATTTCAAACAAAAACGAAGATTTTACAACTTTTAAGAAATAGTGTTACCAATAGCTTGACTCTTCATTAATGACGCCGAGTATATAACAGTTTGAAGGTACATCCGACCACAATATGAGATAAAAGGTACTTGATAGTGTCAATAACACATTATCCGACAACATTAAGATTAAGTACAGACTCGCTGTTATCAGCCGTACGTAAATACCAATACTGTCACTCCAATGCATTAGCTGGGAGACGCTGTCTGACAGGTTCTATATTAGATATATCTTGTATATATGCTGTATATGGACGTGAGCTACAACACGTCGTCTCACCCCATATTTCTCCTCGTCGACCACACTGTCACATCTGATTTAGGTCAAGATGAACTGTCACGGATTTGTAGTTATGTTTGGGCTTGTTAGAGTAAAGCCATCGTGTTCCTTATCGCCTTCTCCAAATCTTTACCCAGCCTCATGCTTGTTTTTATTCTGGGCGCTACAATGAAACAACGTGTTAAAAAATCTATTTTCATTTTGCACTTAATGTCAACGTTTTAGGGAAGTCTTGGCCTCTTGCCTGTCTTTTCATACTTCAAACCGAAGTGGGGAGGTGGGGTAGCAGGGGCGGATTCAGCTTTTTGAGAAAGGAGGGGTGCACACTATTGTGAAAAGGGGGGCGCACACTTCAACCCGAGTTTCAATGTTCATTGTACACATTTTCAGGACAAAAGGGGGTGCGCACCCCTGCAAACACTTGAAGATTTCAGCATGTTAACCTGAATTCACTGGATTTTCTTCATAGACTTTCAAGACTTCCCCTGAATGTTTTTTCAATAGGCAATGTCTTTAGTACCATTTTTGCATATTTCATACGCTATGACATTCACGTCAAGGTCAAAGTCAGTCTTCAAAATATTTGTGTGTTTGAACAACTAAAGAGAAGATATCAAGAGAGGTTGACTGGTCATGTTTTTGTTGACATTTAACTTCATCTTCAACTTTCATTACTTTTTAAGTTTGATTTGATAATTTGCGGCGGGGGATTATGTCACTTTAGTGACAATGCTTGCTTACGTAATATTACCGTTAGAATGGCACAGATTCTTAGAACCCTAGCGCTCATTTTCAAATCAGTTTGGACAATAGCGAGTGGGATCGTATCAACCGCGTTAAAGGAGCGTTAGATGTTAATATGTCTGAATTAACTCGTTATGTGTCATTTTTCTTGTAGATAGAGTATTTACTTTCACTGACTTAATATCACGCCACGCCAAAAGTAAAACTGCATTAACTCAATGTCGTTTCCAGCCCTGTCCTATTAGAGTGATACTCCAGCAATATCAGGACACCAAAAACAAGGCTTCACACATTGTACCCATATGGGGAATCGAACCCGGACTTCAGCGTGACAAGCCAACGCTTTAACCACTAGGCTACCCCACCGCACTCTGTCCTATCAGAAGTAGTTTAAGGTCGTTACACGCTAAATGTAGATCAGAAATCATGAAGAATGATGTTTTATCTCATTTGAAACTTCTGAGGAAGCTTCCAAGTTTCGTGTCGCCACCTTTTCATTTTACAGTTTGAGTATGTTAACCATAACCCGAATAATACCTTAGTAACTAAACCGCGCTGTTTAGTTTGGGTCGCGCGTCTTATCGTACGATATTGCGAAACACACATACCATGGTTGATTTCGACATCTCAATAAATCCACAACAATATCAGGTGACAGTTCAAAGATTTACATCACATGAGCCTAGAAGGTCGATTTGACATTAAATGTCTTGCCATCTGAACAAATATCTTACGACATGACTATTAATAGTTCGTCGGAGCCCAGCTTTCAAAAGCAAGAAAATCTTGTTTCATTCTAGTTTATACACTGTGGTCTCAACACTGAAAGGATAGAGTTCTCACTCCAGGCTCAATTAATATTAAATATGAACATGTTGTTTGACGTTGTGTTCTGTTACGATGCAGCACTACCAGTCGAACGTTGTGAGCATCAATTGTCATTTAAGACCGCTTACAACAGACCTCCGCCTTGAGAGTGTGTGAGTGAGACAGCGAGTTTGGTTTTACGCCGCACTCAGCAATATTCCAGCTGCAGCTATATGGCGACGGTCTGTAAACAATCGAGTCTGGACCAGACAATCCAGTGATCAACAGCATGAACATCAATCTACGCAACTGGGAATCGATGACATGTGTGTTGACCAAGTCAGCGAGCCTGATCAACCGATCCTGTTAGTCGCCTCTTACGACAAGCATGGGTTGCTGAAGATCAGTTCTAACCCTGATCTTCACGGGTCCGCCTTGAAAGGACCTGTTCGTTTTCCCATAGGATCATTCATTAAAACGGGAAGATAACATTTAATGCTTCAAGCATGACCTGAAAGATTTCAATGATGTGTCTAAGTGTTTATGAAAATATTTGAATACCCTTGCCATTTTTTTCTAGTGTTTAAAACCATTAATGACAAGCTCTTGAAAATACCCTCTCCGAGATTTGATATAGTGTGTGAGTTTGGTTGTACGCCGCTTTTAGCAGTGTTCCAGCAATATCACGGCGAGGACACCAGAAATGGTTTTCACACATTGTACCCATGTAGTGAATCGACCCCGGGAATCACACCTCTCGGCTACCCCACCGCCCCAGATTTGCTATATATATAGCAGGCGAATAATTTACTACACTTTGCCTGGCCTTTCAACACAATAGCAATTGGATGTGGGGCAGGTTGGCATGCACTACTGCCGAACTTCATTCCCCTACACGGATGGGAAACGCGTGATGCTTCCCGGATGTACCTCGTTGGTGTCTCGTGTTTAACCCGTCGACCACGCGTTGATGATGGGTGTGTGACCCGTGACACATCTATTTCGGGGGGAAACCATCGTGTGGTTTGGTTTAAAGCCGCACTCAGAACTATTCTAGCTGTATGGCTGTGGTGTGCAAATAATCGAGTCTGGACCAGACAATCCAGTGATCAACAACATGAGCATAAAACTGTGACTAAAAGGGGACATATTTTAAACTGAAATTCGACGCAGTAACAAGGACAGTGCTTTTTCTATTTCCATGAAAAAAATGAAATACGTATTCACTGCTATTAAAATGTGATTTTGTAGAAACTATGAGTAAATTATCTATTATCTGAAATCCTATACCTTATCATAGGCTTACGAATGGCATAGTGCTACGAACGTTTGACTGGTGATCATAGCTAAGGTTTGGAACGGCATTGTTCTCACTGTATATTAACTTTATCATGGCCTAAGCATCTTTGCCTCAGCTCCGTGGTGCTGGGAAAGCAGTATGTGCCTAATGACAATAGATTACATCGCGGAGGAAATGTTTACGGTAGAGGTTTCTAGTTATTGGCGTACCACAGGACGATACCAGTTGACGGACGCGTTGGGCTGTCATTATGATGCCTTAATTGGCACAATGGCCGCCAGAAGAAATAAAAAATACATTTGTACATTTAATTGCGTCGGTTAAAAGGGGTAAAGTTGTGTTGAATGTGCTCTAACGTTTGCCAGTTCATATGCCTCCTCAGTGCGTTGTTAATAGTACTGCTGTGTTGACAAGCAATTTACATGACAGAAAGAAATGGCCAGTTGGTTGTTTTGTTTGTTGTTTAACGCCGCACTCGGCAATATTCCAGCTACATGACGGTGGAAATGGCCAATGTATATATGGCATTGATAAAATACATCAGCAGGTGTGACATTGTAATTGCCTTTCTGCCAATCGGGACTGAGATCCTCGCCATTGGTGTCAAAAGTCCTTGTGTGTGTTATGATCTGTAACACCTGCTGGCCAGCGTTATCAGATCACAGTAATGTGCAAGGGTTAGTCACAGAAATGTACAAGGGTTAGCCACAGAAATGTGCAAGGGTTAGCCACAGAATTTGTAAGTGTTAGCCACAGAAATGTGCAAGGGTTAGCCACAGAAATGTGCAAGGGTTAGCCACAAGAATGTGCAAGGGTTAGCCATAGAAATGAGCAAGGGTTAGCCACAGGAATATGCAAGGGTTAACCACAGAAATGTACAAGGGTTAGCCACAGAAATGTGCAAGGGTTAGCCATAGGAATATGTAAGGGTCAGCCACAGGAAAGTGCAAGACTGAGCCACAGAAATGGGCAATGATTAGCCACAGGAATGTGCAAGGTTAACCACAGGAATATGCAAGGGTTAGCCACAGGAATGTGCAAAGGTAAATACAGGAATATGCAAGGGTTAGCCACAGGAATATGCAAGGGTTAGCCACAGGAATGTGCAAGGTTAACCACAGGAATATGCAAGGGTTAGCCACAGGAATGTGCAAGGGTTAGCCATAGGAATGTGCAAGGGTTAGTCACAGGAATGTGCAAAGGTAAATACAGGAATATGCAAGGGTTAGCCACAGGAATGTGCAAGGTTAACCACAGGAATATGCAAGGGTTAGCCACAGGAATGTGCAAGGGTTAGCCATAGGAATGTGCAAGGGTTAGCCACAGGAATGTGCAAAGGTAAATACAGGAATATGCAAGGGTTAGCCACAGGAATGTGCAAAGTTAACAACATGAATATGCAAGGGTTAGCCACAGGAATGTGCAAGGGTTAGCCATAGGAATGTGCAAGGGTTAGCCACAGGAATGTGCAATGGTTAGCCACATGAATATGCAAGGGTTAGCCACAGGTATGTGCAAGGGTTAGCGATAGGAATCTGCAATGGTTAGCCATAGGAATGTGCAAGGGTTAGCCACAGGAATGTGCAAGGATTAGCCACAGGAATGTGCAATGGTTAGCCACAGGAATGTGCAAGGTTAACCACAGGAATATGCAAGGGTTAGCCACAGGAATGCAAGAATGGTTAGCCACAGGAATGTGCAAGGTTAACCACAGGAATGTGCAAGGGTTGACCACAGGAATATGCAAGGGATAGTCTCAGGAATGTGCAAGGGTTGACCACAGGAATGTGTAAGGGTTAGCCACACAAGTATGGAAAGGATAGCCATACTGTTTTCATTATTACAACGTTCAATGTACGTGTTGGATGCAGACAGACTGACACACATGTGGTAGGTATTTTAAACATTACAGGTCAGGCACTAAATTAAAGTATATCATCTTGTACATTTTAGTAATACGAATTTAGACAGCATTTTGCAAGCAGTTATAAGACAAACCTTCACCTGCCAACAGACCCATAACAGATTCAGTAAAGCCCATGTCGTTTCGCCAGAAAATACTCACCTAGGAAACCTTTAATGGATCCGTAACAAAGGAACCACACTATTGTCCACCACTTCAACAAAAGACACATGCAGCGTAACTAATTAGCTGAACTTCCATTCTTTATAATTGTATTTCAGCATACACCAAATATGTATATTTCACAAATATTCTAACGTAGGTAGAGAAGCATGCAGCCAACATCAGTGTACTCTATAGCTAATTGCATGTTTGGGGTGAGTGAGTGAATGAGTTTGGTTTTACGCCGCTTTTAGCGATATTCCAGCAATATCACGGCGGGGGACACCAGAAATGGGCTTCACACATTCTACCCATGTGGGGAATCGAACCCAGGTCTTCGGGGTGACGAGCAAACGCTTTAACCACTAGGCTTTAACCACCGCCCAAGGTCGTTTGGGATATATTCATATGCGGATATCCCCATGGGCAGGTGCATCACGTGGATTGCAGAAAATACATGCATTGTACACGTAAACGTTAAGCTTGGTTTGAAAATAACATACGAATACAACGTAACTTTGATGTGCTGTCTCTATTTAAGGTTATTTTTGGCACATAACGGACCACCATTACGACACAACGTACTGGTCTGAAATGCGGTCCTGTAATGACGAAGTTCCGGTTCGTGGTATCTATGGCGACTACTGGTGTGACTCCCCCTGGCGGCTTGTCAACGACAGCATCAACGCCATGGCAAGCATCAAAGGAAACGTCGACTTCATCCTCTGGACTGGGTAAAGTAATTATATTCATTTGGCTTCGCTTTGAAGTATGTTTCAATTGTATTCTGATGATACATGGAAATCTCGGTGACACATGGAACATTTTAAACGTCTCAGGATGGATATGGCCAATATATTGTATTATGTTGTATTATATACAATGAGTTGTAGTTCAATTCAATCACAGTAAATATCCTGGACCTATGCGCAACCTTAGATTCATTTTGGAAGTGATGTCACCACCACCTTTAGTCCTTTCTCCCGTTCACAGGAGTAATTTCATTGGATGGTTGTTTTTAGTGCCGAAGCTAGAACAGTGGATGGGTCATTAAAGGCTGAAGAATTACGTCCCTTTAAAATGATTACGTCCTTTTCTGAGTGCAAATCAACACGAGTGACTGTCCTTTCGGACCCTGTTCCCCAGCATAAATAAACACATTTTGCACTTTCGAAGTGATTTGTTATTTGATAAATGTGTTATAACATAGCTATACCATATATCTGTATTTCCATTGCTTGTTACAGTGATAACGTGGCCCACATCGCGGATCAATACACCAATGAGACTTATGTCGTGCACATCCTCAGAAGTATCACTGACGCCCTGAAGACGGCGTTCCCAGGGGTCAAGGTCTACGCCACGATGGGGAACCACGACTGGTATCCTTCCGACCAGTACCCCGTGATATCACACTTCCTGTACAACGCCACTGCGGAATTGTGGGAAGACTGGATTGGCGATGCAAGTCAACTTCAAAACTTCCGTAAAGGTAGACAAGCACTCAATTATATTGGACAAAACTAGTGATGAAATGTTGTTTTCGTTTAGCGGTATTAAAAGTGAGTGTAATGTGGTTTAGATAAAGCAGTATGGGTTTTGTTAGGCGTTGATGTCCCATTGGAAATATTACTGAACATTGGGCGCATGTGTGCGTGCGTGCGTGCGTGCGTCTGTTTGTGTGTCTGGGAAGAGTGTTGATCTGCTAACTGCGGTTCATCTTGATTATTTTAATTAGTTTGTCATCACAGTGCTTTAAATCTTGGTATCCAAATGAAACTGAAAAACAATGTTAGAAGTGTTCCATTGGCGTTTTGACATTCACTCTCACCCAACAGTAATATAGACACGAATTCATATTTTTACAAATTCATCTCGTGTCAGGCGCCTACTACACCGTGAAGACAATCCAAGGACTGAGGATTATAGGGCTTAACACAAACCTGTACTACACGTCGGACAAACTGACCACAGACTTGACTGATCCTGCTGGTCAGTTCGCCTGGCTTGAGGAGGTCCTTAAGAACGCCAAGGTTGCTGGAGAGAAGGTAGTTATATTGCAAATTAGTATTAATCAAAACAGGTTTCAGTTATGTCATCAAGTGTCTGTTCCTGAAAACACACGCGAAATAATGTTATAAATGCTCACAACATATTCTTGCTTCAATTTTTGGAAATACTCAAACATTTCTCTGATTTTGTACACCTTGAAAGATACTGTGCTGTGCTATTTGATATAAACTTGATGCACTGATCTGTTTCCATAAGATAATTATGCAAATGTTGACATTATCAAGAGAGGAAAGTGGATATACTGGACGGTTTATGTGAAAAGACTCTCACTTCCTTTATTGCTTTCCTTGCTGAAGGTGTTGATGACTGCCCACGTCCCTCCCGGCATCCACGTTCCAGGGAAGGTTCAGTGGTTTTACGACCACTACAACACCCGTTTTCTTGATATCAGCCGTACATACTCAGACATCATCGTGGGCATGTTTTTCGGTCACGACCACTACGACGGATTCAAACTCTTGCAAAGAAATGGTGGTAGGTAGCCATCGGTCATTAGCTATGTTTGATTATGCTACTCTTCCATTATTACATCGTTCAAATGTTTTATGTAATATTTCAATTACATTGTACTAACCTTTTATCATCTTATTAAAATACGCCAGAAAATATCTTGTGTTTATTGTCATGTCATGCTGATTTCAGCCAGCTACATATTTCTTTTATTTTAAGCTGCAGTGGAATGGAACCATTTTTATATTTAACTCGAGGAATCATGCCAAGAAAAAAGCTGGCGATGAAGGCGAAAACATAAAGCGTCTTTTAAACTTATCAACACATATACTGATACTGATCAATTCCTAACGTTACAAATAGCAGAAACAAGTACGTTTGGGTTCAGCCTAATTAAACTAGCTCATCACTTTAATAATTAAAGGAAATACCGCCTGTGTTTAATAGAGTAACGCGATCCTTGATTATGTAATATTTGGAAACCGACATTTACCTGTAGCCTTGAAATTGAAACTATATCCCAGAACTTGTTCCAACACCAACCAAAAGAAGCATGAATAAAATATTTCGAAACACTTTACACTATTATCATGTGGAGGATGGCTGGCTCAAGTTGGATTTTCTTTGTACTTTTCAGGGAGTCCAGGTGTTCCAATGTTTATGGCTCCATCACTCACACCTTGGCGTTTCAAAATTACTGACAAAACCGGCGATCCGCACAACCCAGCCGTCAGACTTGTCAAGTACAACCAGCAGACCGGAGTCCCACTTGACATCCACCAGTATTACATGGACCTGACTGCCAGCAACAGAAACAACGTCTCTGACTGGAAAATTGCGTACAAAGCCAGCGAAGCCTACGGGCAGTCAGATCTCTCGGCTGTTTCCGTTGATAATATAATAAAGGCCTTCAAAACAGACAAATCTGTTCTTGATAAGTTTATCAGACACCGCTCCGTCCTGGCTAATGGAGAAACGACAGTCAATGCCTGTGACGAGAAGTGTCGAGCTGAATTAAACTGTGGTTTCATCCACATGACCGAGGATTCGTTCGATTCTTGCTACACAGCAATAGTTGGAGGTTCGGCAAGGTTGTGTTCTTCGTCCTTTCTTATTGTCATCTTAGTCACCATATGTTGTATTCTATAGTAGGAGAAATGTCTCTTTAATATCGATCTCTGTGTTCATAATGTGAGCTTCATTTCGTGCTTTACTCTTTATCATTTTTCGTTCATTCGTAAAATATGTGAACATTTAACAGATACTGTTGTAAAATAAATCGTCGATCCAAACACCTGTCATACTACATGTCACTAGTGCAATGGTAAGGAAACACGATAACCTTCGTTCGCGACCCTTGAACGCTGTGAATCATGCAGTCTTCATCCAGTAGCTTGTGACATTCGGCATAACTCATACGAATATTAATTCAATTTGACTGATAAAGGACAGTGGTCAATTACGTGAGATCTTACACTTTACATCCGTGCAATAGTGACGGAACGTTTGTTTTCACTGTTGTGTTTGTCCCAATATTTATCCCATAATAAATATATGTTTTACAACTTTAGTTCTTTTGTTTTTAGTGAATGTAACAATAACAATAAGTAACATCTACTGATTATTATTTTGTTAATATAAATCAAATCAGCAAAGGATCCCAGAGTTTATCACTACTGCCTTTGTTTGCACCACTTTGTATATGTAAAACCTGTTCTTCGTGTAAAAATTGCTCATATTGCATGTATAATTGTGAAGGTACTTTAAGGTTAGCGCCCTATTTGTTTGTTTTTCTTTCATCAAACGTTAATCTCGTACATATTACCCCTTAGTGGTAAACCGAAAAAACTAATGGTATAAACAAAGTTTGAAAGGACATACAAAATATTGAAGCATGCGGCTATATGTATAACAACTTATCGCATTTATTACATAGAGCGAGGTTTCGGTGTAAATTCTTACCCTGTTATTAAGCTTTTTACTGTTGTTAAGCTTTTATATAAACCATTGCTTTACTATTTGTACTTTCTCAGAAAAAGTAATTAGATAGAAGAAGGAAAAAGAATATGCACAAAAAATAACTTTAAGAAACTAAGCAGAATTAAACATATAAAAATAGAAAGTTCAATGTATGTGATGATCGGCATGCTTGAAGTTGGTGAGTCAATAATGAAGCAAACGACTCTATGGATTTCAACCTCTTGTTTACAGCATAGAGCGACGTTTCAGTGTAGATTCTTACACCGTTATCAAGCTTTTACATATGCCATGGGACCGCCTCCGTGGTGTAGTGGTTAGAGCGTCCGCCCGGAGAGCGGAAGGTCGCGGGTTCGATCCCCGACCGCGTCATACCAAAAAGACGTTAAAATATGGTACTTGTTGGTCCCTGCCTGGCGCTCGGCATTTAATGGGTATATCAATGACTGGTCGACTCGGAGTCAGTATAATGTTTCTGAGTGGGGTATTCATGCTTCACTGCGGCATGGTATCTCAGTGGGTTAGCACTATAAAACCAGCTTCAGTCTGGGCTAGTACACGCAGCCGCACATGCACATACACACGCATGCACGTCGTCATATGAGTGACATATTCTCAAGCACGACGTTAAACCCAATCTCACCTCACCTCACATACGCCATGGCATTACTGTTTGTAGTTTCTGAGAAAAAGTGTTTGGTTAGTAAAAGAATATGTGCAACGTTAACTTTGATAATCCAAGCAAAATTGATACAAAGGTTGATAACGTTTCGGTGGAGATTCTCACACGGATATCAAGCTAAAAGCTTGATAACGGTGTAAGTATCTACACCGAAAGGTGACTAAAAGCCTGATAACAAATAGTAAAACCATGGTTTATGCACATTCCAACTATCTCTAAACAGCGACCACCCACGACGTTTTCTTTTCTTGTTAAAATAGTGTCATGTGACACTGCATGTGTTATATAACTTTACTTAACTTAGTATCTTCCTTCTACAACCATCTGATCGATATTTAGAGATTTTGTTAAAATTTAGGTACAATACATTTAACGACTCAACCGAATATAACAGAGGCATCTGATTGTTCTAACTTTAGATGTCACATTTCGTTCAAGGATATCAAAATATACTTTTCGAAACAAAACACTAGTTAACTGGTTCATCGTGACCATAATAACGAAATAGCAAGGGACAGCCTTATGGTTAAAGCGTCCACTCGTCACGCTGAAGACCCGGGTTTAATTCCCCACATGGGCACAATACCATTTCTGGTGTTCCCAGCTTTATATTGCTGGAATATTGCAAAAAGTGGCGTAAAACCATACTCACTCACTCACTCACTCGCTCTTCACAAAAGAAAAATAAGTACCGGGAAAATTACCATCCACGAGCATGCAACAGCATTCTCATTTCAGGATATTCCTCGACAAACAATGGAGACTTAATGTTTTCCACTGAGGATGTAAGTTGATTCATCCTGATCTAACTTAAATTTTGTTATGACGTTTAAAAACTCTAACATCTTCGGCTTGTGGGTCACAGTCAATGTACTTTTGCACACCACCTCGTCTCACGTGACTGGGTCGACCGTACGACGGAATAAGTGACCTGGGATAGACACGGAGCAGAATGCACTGCAGTTGGATAAAACTGTTTTGTATACTTCTGTTATATTCAACATGTGCTGGTGCACAAGAAGGTGAGAATTGTTCATTATTAGTGCGTGTACATGCATCTTAAAAACATATCGATAACAGCAAACCACGTTAATTAACTTTAAAATGAAATACATGTTGTATTGTGATGTAATGCGAATATACGACAATTAAAAAGAAGGGAAGGGGAATGTCTGTGTTCTGAAGCCATGGAGATGGTGCTGAATAAGATCTGCAGAGAGAGAATGAAAGAAAAGTAAAATCGTCAGTTCCGTGTTCTGCAGAGAGTGGAAGAAAGAAAAGTAAAATTGTCAGTTCCGTGTTCTGCAGAGAGTGGAAGAAAGAAGAGTAAAATCGCCAGGTCTGTGTTCTGCAGAGAGCGAAAGAAAGAGAGATTAGTGTGTATGTAGTGAGGAGAAAAGAGCTATTGATATGTGTGTTGTGCAAAGAGGGAAGAACGAGAGAAGGTGGTGTTTGTATGAAAAGAAGTAGATATGCTGTTTTAGAGAAGCAAAAACAAAATCTATCGGTGGCTGTGTTCTGTCGAGTGGGCTGGAAAGAAGGAAAACAGTATCTGTGTCCTGCAGAGAAGAGAAGAAAGAGAGATAGTAGCATATGTGATTTGTAGAGAAAGTGTCTGTTTTAAAAGAGGGGAAGAAAGAGAGATAGGAGTGTATGTGTTTAGTAGTTAGAGTAACAAAGGGAGATAGCAGTGTCTGCGTTATGCAGAGAGGACAAAAACAGATAATGATGTTTGTGCTTTGTAGCGAAGTAAAGTGTCTGTGTTCTAGAAAGAGGGGAAGGAAGAAAAACAGCAGTGTTTGTTTTCTGCAGAAAGGAAAGTCAACACAGGTTAATTAGCGTCTGGGTTCTGCAGAAAGGAACAGTCAACACACGTTAATCAGCGTCTCGGGTCTGCAGAAAGTGACAGTCAACGCAGGTGTATTAGCGTCTGTGTTCTGCAGGGAGGGTTTAAAAATAGATATGGTGTATGTGCTCTGTAGAATGAGGAAAGAGAGTTCTCAGTTATCGTGGTGTAAATGTGTTCTGCATTCGCCTTTTAAAAATGACTGGTTTCTTCAGTGACAAGGGATCACATTCCAGTTTAACAGCAGACTACTATAATACTATCTCTAATCACCCCCACTGTACACATATATAAAGGTAGGTAAGTGTGTTTCATTGTAAAGAACTTTCAGCATGAATAAAGACATAAATAGAAGCTTTCGCCGGACTATTTCAAATAAATTCTGGATTGTACAAAGCGCTGACGTTCACACTGTTTACTGACACTGGATACTCTGAGTAAACACACTACTCTTGACTGTCATGGTTTTTATTAGACTGAATGTTTGGTTCTCTGATTTTCAAACTTTTATACACCCTGGTACCTCGACGAGTTCAGAAATATGTGATCAAAAGGATATATCTTTGTTTCCAACTCTGGCAATTGTATTTGATGTATTGCCTTTCAGTCAGCTGATTCATGTATCAAGTCAGTGGCTTATTTCTTTAGTAATAAAATGTATTGCCATGAGACATTTTGAGCAAAGATTCTTCTGGTGATCTAGGCAAGGTCACATTATTACGTTGCGGGTAGCAAGGGGTCACTTAGATGGATCAGGTCATCAGGCTCCCTTATTTGTACCAAAGGCTTTCAACCACTTGTTTATCTATCCCACGTCCGATTATTTCCAGGCTGGCCAACAGGTATACCTGTGATGTTTTACATATTCCCACAGTTTCTTGCAAAATATATGATGAATACAATGAAAACTTAAAGTTATGACATTTCTACTCCGTCATTTACTTCTTACAAAAGCTGTTGGGTATCCTCGTGGTTAAAGCGTCCGCTCGTAACCGCGAAGACCCGGGTTCGATTCCCCACATGGGGACAATGTGTGAAGCCTATTTCTGGTGTCCCCGCCGTGATATTGCTGGAATATTGCCAAAAGCGGCGTAAAACTAAACTCACTAACTCATTTCATAGTGAATGAGTATGGTTTTACGCCGTATCAGCGTCAGGATCGAACCCATGTCTTGGGCGTTTCGAGAGAGTGTACCCCATACCCTAGTCTCATAACGCGGAGAAGCCTCGCGACCTTCAGGCTCAGGTATTATTCAAGTCATCACACAGTGTCACGATATTTATAACAAGGTGTGTAAACACGCTCGAACCGTTGTCAAAGATCCAGAACAGGATAGACTCGTCAGTGTGCCGAGACTCAAATACCTTCCCCTGTTTGGATGCGTGCATGTAGTGACCCCGGGTCTCACTCGATGTTTGCTGGCAGGGTTTGAATGTCCTAGATGTAATGTTATGCGAGAGAGTAATAGAGTATGAATATATTCAAATATTCATTGAATATATGGGTTAGTATTTAGTCCAGACTGGATTCTTAATATACTAAACAATAGTCAGGGATCATTTATCATTAATACTCCAAACCATCAACCCAATATTTCACAACCCCCCACAACCCCAATACCCTGCATGCCTCAACCTCACCACACAACACCCACCTCAACCCCAAATCACACAAGCCCACAGCCTCACAAACACGTATCCCCAACCCCATTACCTCACAATACCCATCCACAATCCCATCCCCAACCCAGCATCCAACAACCTCACAACATCCATCCCCAACCCAAAAAACCCACAACACTCATCCCCATCCCACCACCCTCAAATCCCCACAGCCACACAACACCCTTCTCCAAACCAACACCCCGCATCCCACAACCTACAACCCACACCTCCAGACCTGTACAACCCAACAACTCAACCCTACTGTCGACAACCCATACCCGAACCCTTACAGCCGATCCGCCACAACCCAAACCCAAACCAAAATAGCCTGCATCCCACAACCTTCAACCAACCCACCCAACAATCCATAACGCATATCCGCATATAACGCCGTATGCCTCGACGGATCCTGAAAAACAGTTTACGTGGTGAAATCTAACTTAGATTGAGGAAGGGGGTGGTTCCGTCGTTACATCCCTTTCCTTTTATATAGTACTAGGGTAGGGTCTTTATACCTATATGTCTTTCTAACGCTGTTTCTAAGCGTGACACGCCCCTGTGGATAGGGATGTATTGTTACAAGATTTTCTGATTTATATGTGAGATATTGTTTGTTTATGTGTGGGGCTGTGTATTGTAATTGAGTTTGAATATTTTTATAATAGAAGGTAATAATTATGATAGTGAGGTCCCCTTATAATTGTGGAGAAGAAATCGTATAATTGTATTTTTCGAGTTTTAATACATGTTTCATCAGCATTTCCATCATTGTGTTGATATTAGTCATGTTGGTGGCCAAGCTGAAGTAGTGCGGCAGTGTTGTATACGTGCGCAGTGAAGCGCCGTGAAATCAGACGCATTTTCAATCCAAATTGATACCGTCTGATTTTATGGCTTGACCAATCAAATTCGAGCATTTCACGTAGCCATGGTAGAATAAATTATATGAAGATACAAATTTCGAATACACCGCGATTGTTGTCGGCCCAGACACATTTGAATAACCCTTAAAAGGGAAACACTGTTTACAGTCTGCCTATGCCTTGCTTTGAGAAAACCAGCACAAAAACGCGCGTTGAAATATCACAAAAAGTATTTTTGGAGTGCTTCCGTCAGCTTGGATGCCATGATCAAAATCAGGCGCGGTATATTGATATTTATCAACAATCGTTATTCCTAGTATCAAAATAAATGATGACATGATGACAACTTACATGGATTTTTATCCGATTATGAATCAGTTTCTTTTAATTTGTTTATTTTTTCATTTGTATGTATATTTCTTTTCATTCCGCTGCGTTTTGAACTATTTTTACAACTATGCCGAAACGGCGAGCGTTAGGAGCGTTACGTTTCCCACTTTGTTTCCGAACCATTTGAGACCATTCGGATGTTTCCGGAATTATATCAGCCTGCAAATGAGAAGTGCTAGTTAAAGAGTTAACTGTACATCGTGTGTGGCCGGGTCCTGCCCAAGTGAGTTCGTATAACAAACGTGACGACCGTATGTGAACACGGGTGCTTCACAAAACAGGGTAACAGTTATTCTCCTTTTGGTGCATACCGACCCCCGATTAACCAATTAATATACAGCGCGATCCACTGATCATATGGAACACTGTCTTCTCTTTGTGCATACCGACCTCCGATTAACCGATTAATATAAATTATACTTGTCGAGTCGTGTTATAAATAATTAATTGTTTGAGTGAGTGAGTGAGTTGGGTTTTAGTCCGCTCTTTGAAATATTCCAACAAAATCAAGCGGGGGACACAAAGTAGGGTGTCAAACAAAGTACCCTTTTGGAGAATCGAACCCGGCCTTCGGCGTAACAAGAAAACGTTTTAACCAATAGGCTACCCCACATAGCCCAGCGGATAAGTGCAGTTTTTTCACTGAATTGTGCACTTTGTGTTACAAGCATGAAATTTGGCATGATTGTAGCTTATACCATTCTTATTAAATAA